TTTACACTAAATCTCTCTAGTAATTTCTTCATGCCTCAAAGCATGCCTCGAAGGCAGTGTTTCTCAATCTGGGGGTCGGGAACCCGGGGGGGGGGTCACGAGGGGGTGTCAGAGGGGTTGCCAAAGACCATCAGGAAACACAGTGTTTTCTGTTGGTCATGAGGGTTCTGTGTGGGAAGTTTGGCCCAATTCTATCGTTAGAGGGGTTCAGAATRCTCTTTGATTGTAGGTGAACTATATATCCCAGCAACTACAACTCCCAAATGTCAAGGTCTATCTTTCTCTAACCCCACCAGTATTCACATTTGGGCATATTGAGTATTTGTGCCAAGTTTGGTCCAGATCCATCATTGTTTGAACCCACAATGCTGTCTGGATGTAGGTGAACTACAACTCCAAAACTCAAGGTCAATGCCCATCAAACTCAGTATTTTCTGTTGGTCATGGGAGTTCTGTGTGCCAAGTTTGGTTCAATTCCATCATTGGTGAAGTTCAGAATGTTCTTTTATTGTAGATTAACTATACATCACAGCAACTACATCTCTCAAATGACAAAATCAATCCCCTTTTCCCAACCTTACCAATGTGGGTGTATCAGGTAATTGTGCCAAATTTGGCCCAGTGAATGAAAATACATCCTGCATATTAGATATTTACATTATGATTCATAATAGTAGCAAAATTACAGTTATGAAGTAGCAACAAAAATAATGTTATGTTTGGGGGTAGCACAACATGAGGAACTGTATTAGGAAGGCATTAGGAAGGTTGAGAACCACTGCTCTATGGTGACTACAGAATTGGAAGGTGACTACAGAATTGCACTGTAGAAGCTGGAGATTCCTAGACAGAAGCTCTTAATCAAATCCATGAACAATCTAATCCACAAAAGTCAAACTTGTAAATGTGGAGGGCCAACTGTACTTGGGTCAGAAGTATACCATAGAATAGCACTGGAGGGTTTTCATACTTTGCTGGTTGGGGGGGGGATATAATATTTTTGGAGGGTGGGCAGATGAAACCATGGAGATAAAATTATTCGATAAAGGGATCATGCTATATTTCCAAGCTGTATCAAGTTGGAGCTGACTTTGTAGAGTTCTACCCACAAATTAAACACAGCGAACTCGGCTAACACATAACGGGATAAGTGTGACAAAGGGCGGGTTAAATTATGCAAGCTTTGAAGCACATGAATAAAGTTCATTTTTTTTCCTTCCTCTTTTCACAAAGTTTGGAATCAAAGTCATTGAGTGCAATTTGCTGGACGTACAGGACAGGCAAGAGTAACAAGTTCTTCCCTGGCTACTGGTGGCAAAAGGACAGAAGGACAGTTAAAGCCCCAGGAGCCTGATCCTCTTTTGTGTTAGGCCACTTTTTTCTTTAAACAACACAACATTGATTTTTTTTAAAAAATCACTATGCATATTTGGATTAATTGTCATTGGCTTAAATACTAACCAGCCAAATTGTACTAGTGGTTATCAGCCTTGATAGCTTAGTACAGAATCAAGAAACAAGTAGGTCTTTATTATTCTCATCATACTCCACCATTGACGAAGCAGGTCTCTGTTTGCACTGTCATATAATGTAGTTTGAAAGTATAGACTTATTTAAAGCATTGTATTCAACTGCGTTTTGAGTCTAGACTGTCCATATAATGTACAGTAGAGTCTCGCTTATCCAACCTTCGCTTATCCAGCGTCCTGTATTATCCAACGCAGTCTGCCTCCCACTGGGATGCACAGGTGAGGGAATTGGAGTGTATATTTACCTGTGGAATAGTGTCCAGGGTGAGAGGAAAAAATGAACCCCTGTCTGTTTTGGCACTAAATTTGTAAATACAGTGTTCCCTCACTTATTGCGGGTGTTATGTTCCAGGACCACCCGTGAAAAGTGAAAATCCATGAAATAGGGATGCTCTCTCTATATATATCGCATTCCGAGGGTGAGGTAGAAGCAAGGAGAGATTTAAAGGCACCACACACCTTTTTTTGCTAGTTATAAGAAAGGGGCTATAAGGCCGTGATTAACATACTGTATCTCCTCTCTCTCTCTTTTATGATGGGCTGCCTCTCTCCCGAGAGGGAGGGTGAAACCCCCTTCCACACTCCATCGTTGCCAGAAGGCAAAAACCCGCGAAACAGTGAGTTCGTGAAAAGCGAACCACGAAGTAGCGAGGGAACACTGTACAGTAATTACTACATAATGTTACCCTGCATTAAATGGCTTTTTCTATCGAATTGTTGTAAAGCATGATGTTTTGGCGCTTAATTTGTAAAATTGTAATGTCATTTGACGTTTAATAAGCCTTTCCTTAATCCCTCCTTATTATCCAACATTTTTGTTTATCCAACGTTCTGCCAGCCTGTTTATGTTGGATAAGCGAGACACTGCTGTAGTTTCAAACTACACAGAATCCAATTTAAGGCATTGAATAGTTGCCTATGTATAAAGCCTCCTTCAGTCCCCTCCGGGATCGAGAAAGACAGGATAGAAATGTCGTAAATAAATAAATGAAAACAGCTAGAGTGTCATGAGCTCCCAGTTAATGAAACCTCCCCATCAGGAGCATTACATCAATGAATACTTTTGGCTATGCAATGACCAACAGTAGAGAAATGATACTATCTGCATATTCTGAACTAAATGACCGTGCTCTCTCTCTTTCTCAAATACACACACAATCTCACTCGCACATATGAAGGGAGTCAGGCATTTTGGAAACAAACACACCCCAAAAACAGAGAGTTGTTGCATGCAGGGACATGTTAATCCATTCTGTTGGATTCAACGCTTGCTGAGTAAGCTGGGCTGGAAATTAAAAAACAAACAACGCAATTGTGCTTGGCAGGAGAGATAAAGGAACAAAGTGCAGTTAGTGACAGGCAGCAAAGCAAAGGGCAACACACAGAAACACAGGCAAACATGTCAAGAAGTGTGTGGTTGTGTTATTTTTGGTGAAAGGAGGGAACTCAGTATGCTGGGCCTCTGCTATTATCCACCGGGGTTGGGTTCCAGGACCTCCCTGTGGACAGCAAAATCTATGGATATTCAAATCTCATTAAATGCAAGGAAATAGTAAAATGGTGTCCCTTATGTAAAATGGCAAACATAAGGTTTGCTTTCTATTTTTTTTCTCCTGTGGAAGTTATCATTATGCTGTGCCTAAGGACTTTGCAAATTCCTAGAGAGGATACATGCAACAAAACTCCAAGTTATATTGGTAGTGGAAGTGAGATAATGGCATTCAATCATATCCAGGTGATGGTTTCAAGAAGACACTTGATGTGCCAATTGTTATCTGCAGATATATAATGTTGCAATAAACTCAGAAATAAGATGAGGGGAAAGACTTGCAGAGAAATGTCGTCTTTCTTTTCATTCATCTCATCCATGTCATAATTGAGAATTATTTGCTTGTGTTGCTTCCTGTTCAAAAATCAGGACCTGACTTGGCTGCAAGATACTGATGAGATACAGCTGGACTTCTGATGAAGGAATTCAGTGTAAACAGACCAAATAATTTTGCTTCTCAACATTAAAATTTCATTTAAAATAAAATAAAAATAAGGCCGACTATTTCGATAAGGAAGAACTGAAAGTCAGCACAAAATGTGTCCATGATAAATACAGGGATGGGTTCTGGTATGTCATTTTCTCAAGAAATCTTGAGCAATAGGAATGTGTCATCTTTAGAAAAGTGACCTGGCGTATGCAGAGACAAGGCAGTCAGCTTTCTACCCCTCAATGATCTTTTTGATACAAAAGATTTGTAAAAGAAGTATATAAAAAAAGAAGTATCAAAAATCACAACAAAAGATAACATCTGGGGCACTGTAATCATAGAACTCCAATGTCATCATTGAAGCATGATGTAAACTACTGCAACTAGGAACCACTGATGGCACAATGGTTAAGCCATTGTGCTGGCAAAACTGCTGACTGACAGGTCAGGGGCTCCAATTCAGGGAGAGTGGGTTGAGCTCTCTCTGTCAGCTCCAGCTCCCCATGCAGGGACATGAGAGAAGCCTCCCACAAGGATGGTAAAACATCAAAACATCCGGGTGTCCCCTGGGCAACATCCTTGCAGACAGCCAATTCTCACACCAGAAGTGACTTGTAGTTTCTAAAGTTGCTCCTGACACAGGAAAAAAAACTGGTGCAAATAATAATAATAATAATAATAATAATAATAATAATAATAATCCTTTATTTGTACCCCGCTACCATCTCCCCGGACCCCCAGTGGTGCAGTGGGTTAAAGCACTGAGCTGCTGAGCTTGTTGATCGAAAGGTCGCAGGTTCGATTCCGGGGAGCGGCGTGAGCTGACTGTCAGCCCTAGCTTCTGCCAACCTAGCAGTTCGAAAACATGCAAATGTGAGTAGATCAATAGGTACCGCTCCGGCGGGAAGGTAACGGCGCTCCATGCAGTCATGCCGCCACATGACCTTGGAGGTGTCTATCGGACAACGCTGGCTCTTCGGATTAGAAATGGAGATGAGCACCACACCCCAGAGTCAGACATGACTGGACTTAATGTCAGGGGACTACCTTTACCTTTACCTTACCATCTCCCGAAGGACTCGGTGCGGCTTACAAGAGGCCGAGCCCAAATACAACAATAAAAACAGCAGTAACAACATCAACACAATAACTTTAAAAAATCATATGAGTAGATTCACAAGGAGAAAGAGAAACAATAATTTCCGATGAGATAGTTTTGATGGAACAGCATTGCTAAAAGACCAAAAGAATCAGAGCCAATCCAGAAGTATCTAAAAAAATTTCCAGTCTCAGAAGGAAAGATGTATCAAACGAGACTTCTGATGAATCTGATTCTGTTTTCACTACTTTACAAAACAATACTGCCAGGTTTCAGTGCAGTATGATTTCATATAATGCCTTTCCAATGTAAAGTATGAGGTCTTAAAGCAAGCTGTGTTATGTATGAGATGTTGCAATTGAGAAAAGCAGTTGGGAGACACCGGGCAGCATAGAGCGAGGCAGCATTCTCACTCTTCTGCCAGTTAAAGTTTAGCGACTGGGAGCCAAGGATTTCCTCAAATCAGCCTGCAGGGACGGAGGGGCGGGAAGGGTGAGAATTTCCTCTCGTTTGTTCATTCTTGCTCTTTGCTTCTTGTCCTCCACGCAGAAGGAAGTTGGACAGAGCCCTCAAAAAGCAGTGGGCCTGCTGCTGCCAAGGCATTTGATCATTCTCCAGATCCTAGCCATGCCGGACCTGTATACAATTGTGCTAGGACTGCTGATTCTTTTGCCCCTCCTGGGAAACATTTTCTTCCCCTACCTTTGGCTGGACCTGGTCTACTTCTTTACCATGGTGAAAAGAGGATACAAATGCCACCAGTGTCTTCGGCGGAATCCTCCTTTTACTCTCCTAGATGTTTTCTTGGAGAAAGTCAAGAAACATCCTGAGAAACCACTGGTTCTTTCTGGAGATGAGATCTATACCTACCAAGACATCAACAAGCGCAGCAGTCAGGCAGCCAGAGTGTTACAGGGCCATGTGGGGCTGAAAGAACGGCAAACGGTGGCCGTTTTTCTGAAGAACGTCCCTGCCTATCTCTGGGTCTGGATGGGCTTGGAGAAAATTGGCTGTACCATGGCGTGTATCAATTACAACATCCGATCAAAGTCCCTGTTACATGTGCTCAGCTCTTGTGATGCCAAAGTGCTATTGACCACTCCAGGTGAGCTACACTGTGTGCTTAAATCCAAATGTTTTGTTGTCTTTGGTCATAGTCCTCCTGGAGTGTTGTCCTTGTCCTATTTCCACATAATTTTTCTCAGAAGTTTTGTATAATTATAATCTCCCCTGCATTTAATTTGGAAAGCTCTTTGAAAACTGCTGTAGAATCAGAAAACAGAGGGAGGGCGGAGAATCTGTGTCAAAAGTCATATAGATACCATTCAATATATGTGCCTGCCAAAAGTGGCATGAAAATATTGTAGCGGTTAGTTTGAATTTCTCTTAGCAATACAGCTTCTAAAGTAGAGTTTCTCAGCCTGGGGGTTGGGACCCCTGGGGAGGGGTCGTGAGGGGGTGTCAGGGGTTGCCAAAGACCATAAAAAACACAGTATTTTCTGTTGATTATGGGGGTTCTGTGTGGAAAGTTTGGCCCAATTCTGTTGTTGGTGTGGTTCAGAATGCTTTTTGATTGTAGGTGAACTATATATCCCAGCAACTACAACTCCCAAATGTCAAGGTCTATTTTCCCCAAACTTCACCTGTGTTCACATTTGGGCATATTGAGTATCCATGCCAATTTTCATCCACATCCATCATTGATTGAGTCTACAGTGCTCTCTGGATGTAGGTGAACTATAACTCCAGAACTCAAGGTCAATGCCCAATAAACCCTTCCAGTATTTTTTGTTTGTCGTGGGAGTTCTGTGTGCCAAGTTTGGTTCAATTCTATTCTTGGTGGAGTTCAGACCGCTCTTTGATTGTAGGTGAACGATAAATCCCGGCAACTAAAACTCCCAAATGGCAAAATCAGTCCTCCCTCAACCCCACTAGTATTTAAATTTGGGCGTATTGGGTATCTGTGCCAAATTTGGTTCAGTGAATGAAAATGCATCCTGCTTATCAGATATTTACATTACGATTTATAACAGTAGCAAAATTACAGTTATGAAGTAGCAATGAAAATAATGTTATGGTTGGGGACCACCACAACATGCGGAACTGTATTAAGGGGTCACAGCATTAGGAAGGTTGATAACTACAATTCCTGTGATTCTATAGGATCAAGCCATGGCAGTTAAAGTGATGTCAAACTCTATTAATTCTCCAATGTAGATGCATCCTTCAAAGCCTGAGAGCCAGACCTATCAACACCCATTGCTTCCAGAATACTGTCAACTATACATATTTATTTTGAATTACACAACCAGGTCTCTTGGCCAATTAGTTTTGCAGAAAACTAGCCTTTCTAGCTTTAGAACAGTGGTTTTACAAGGACTTTAGTTCTTTCAATCATTGTTGGTGTCTCACCAAACTACAAATCCCAAGATTCCATACATTGACCCTTGACGATTACAGTGATATCAAACTTCATTAATTCTCCAGTTAGATACACCCAAAGACATAAATGGACCCTAAATTAGGAGCAGGTGCAGGTTTTAAAGGCTGTCGCTGCTAGTCTGGATTCTTAAGTAAGTAAATCCCCAAACTTACTTTTTGAATCCTTCTTTCTCTTTATATACCGATTGTGCATTCTATTCCCATTGCACATTTGGTTGTCAATTCAACACTGAGAGACGAGGGTATGAATCTCTACTTGTTCATATTGGAAACCCACTGGGTGACCTTGGGCAAGTCACACTATCCTAGAGCCTTTCCACACAGCCCTATATCCCAGAATATCAAGGCAGAAAATCCCACAATACCTGCTTTGACCTGAGTTATCTGAGTCACACTGCCATATATTCCAGTTCAAAGTAGATAGTGTGGGATATTATTCCCACATTATCTGCTTTGTGTGGAAGGGCCCCAGATTCCCAGAAAGGCAAAGACAAACTCCCTCTGAAGACATTCTGCCAAGACAACCTGGCCATAGATTTGCCTTAGGGTCTCCATAAGAAAAGCAACTAGAAGGCATGCAAGAAAAACAACTAGAACCAAACCATGTAGCAGGGTATTCTATTAGAAACTGATAATTGGATTTTTGTACCACTACCACCACCACCACCACCACCACCACCACCAACACCACCACCACAGAAGTTAGCAAGTAAAACACTGGGGAAAATGGACAAAGCAAGGCAATTGGGGGCCCTTCCACAGCCCTATATCCTAGAATATCAAGGCAGAAAATCCCACATTATCTGAGTGTGGATAACCCAGTTCAAAGCAGATATTGTAGGATTTTCTGCCTTGATATTCTGGGATATAGGGCTGTGCAGAAGGGCCCTTGGAGAGATTGCCATCTTACTTGAAGTGGCAATTTGGCTTGTGCACTCCTGCAGAGACATCTTTTGCTCTTCTTCCTCATCCTCTTCTTCCTCCTTCTCATCCTCTTCTTTTGGCAGTGTTTTGCTTTTGGTATTCTTTTCTTTTCTCCTGAACTCTAGGCATGACAAGAAGTTAATCCATCCGAGAAAACGGTGTGATTATAAACTGATAGGGAATCATTATGTCCATCTGTATGCAGTCTAAAACTACAGATGTGCAGATTTTCCACCAACGGTTACTACCCTCCCTTCATTTCCACTATTCCCTTTGTTTCATTAGTGTTTTCTTATTTATTTTTTTTTGCTTGTTTTAATACTTGCATTAGGGTTTCGTATTTTATTTTTTTCGCAAAGTTCACTTCATGTAATTACTATGTAACATTCTGCCCTCTGCAGGATGTCTGGAAAACAACTAATATATATGCTTATAAATTTATTTATTTACTATTTATTTATTTATTTATTTATAATATTTATATTTATTTACAGTATTTATATATAAAGGGATATGTATGAGTTGTATTCCATGGGAGATTCTGAGGATTTTTAGTTCTGACAAGGAAAAGTGGGAGACAGTCTGTGGAGAGAAAAGTAAGGGAACTAAAAACACAAACATGAGAAGACACTGAAGGACAGAAATGCAATTAACACCCTCTCTTAATATTAATTTTGCAGTTTTGAATTCAAGGTGATGTGAAGTTATGGCTCTGTGGCAAGACATAACATCATATCCTTGACTTATCCCACTTTTGCAGGGATAGTCCCAGGCCCCATCTGCACTGCCATATAAAATCCAGTTTATCTGATTTATGCTGGATTATATGGAAGTACAGATTCATATAATCCAGTTCAAACCAGATATCTGGATTTTATTTGGCAGTGTAGGAGGGGCCTCAGTTATTCTTTAGTTGTCTCATTCTTCCCAGCTGCTTATACAATGTTCCAATTTCCTTCTCCCTCCCTCCTCTTTTGTCTTTAGCTTACTCTAATTGATGCAAACTAGCTTCAAAGTCCAAAGGTAGTTTGCCCTCAATTCATTCAGCAGGGCAGGGAGAGGGCCAGCATATTCCTCCCTGCAGACGTAGACAAAAGCAACCTGTTATGGGGCTGCAGTGGCACAATGCATTACACCATTGAGCTGCTGAACTTGCTGACCAGAAGGTTGGTAGTTCAAATTCACAGGACAGGGTGAGCTCTTGCTGTTAGCCCCAGCTCCTGCCAACCTACTTTAAGCGCAGCACTTTACACCGGCCCTCTTATGTTCTACCTCAACATGTTTTATTACTATTTCCAGCCCTGCCTATTTGATGTTGCACTTTCCTTGCACTCCTGCCAGAATGTATTGCACTCAGTGAGTCTGTACCTCAGCTATGTTCTTTATTCTCAGCAATATTGTTTTGATGTTGTTTACATTTGTGAGTGTTTTTATTTATCTGATGTTTTTAATTGGTTGTGTTTTACTTGTAATTTTTGGCTTGTCCCTTGTAAGCCACCCCGAGTCCCCTAGGGGAGATGGTTGGCGGGGTATAAAAATAAAGTTGTTGCTGTGGTGCTGTCACACGCTGGGCCTGTGCATTAGACTGTAGACAGGACATAAATTCTGTGTGCCCAACGGGACGCTGGGGCTGCCTCAGATTAAAGGCCCTTAGATTCCCCAAACAGAGTCTTTAGATTGCTTAAAGTAAGTCCAACAAAGTTCTTTACTGATGAAAACAAACAGGTACTTTCAAGCTTTCTTAACAGTCTATTGGCTCTTGCAATCTTGTTCACTGGGAACAGGCACTATCTTCATAACTGTATACTAACTAATGGGGAAATCTTTAACTTCTAATCTGGGCAGTCTGTACTTGCCTCTGCTGGCGTGGAGCCCCTGCACCCTGTACCAACTGTGTCTGGCTTCCGCGAGCAACCCTTACCAAGCAGAGCTTTGTAGACTTCCAGGGGAAAAGAAGGAATTCAGGTTGCTGTGATGGCTGGCTGAAGTCTTTCAGCAAAGGAGCTGTAAGGCTGCAAAATCCACAGCCAAGCTGTGGGGCCTTTTCTCCCCGACCAAGCTGTAGGCTGTAGGCTGTATATCTCCCCGGCCAAGCCATAGAAAACAAAGCTTTCTACAGGAGCTCTTCGTTTTATGTCCTATGCGAAAGGCTTCTCTGTGAGAACTGACTCAAAAAGGCTCCTATTCCCTCCAAAACTCAAAAAGGGGCGAGACCAGGGAACCCAACGATAATTGGCAGGTGGCTTGCCCTATGATTGCAGCCAAAAGAAGCCACCTATCTGCAGAGTCCCTGAAACTTGAGACTATAACAAACATTCAATGCAAAGCAAACAAAATGGGAGCTTCTGGTACAGCTGTACCAGCACAGTTGTTGTTGTTGTTGTTGTTGTTGTTGTTGTTGTTGTTATTCAAAAACATGCAAATGTGAGGAGATCAATTGGTAACACCTTGGAACGAAGGTAAACAGCACTCCATGCAGTCATGCCAGCCATATGACCTAGGTGGTGTCTAGGGACAACGCAGGCTCTTCGGCTTAGAAATCGAGATGAGCACCCCCAGAGCTGGAGATGAAAGCTTTACCTTTACCTGTGGATCTGTGTTTTATCGTTTCAAGACATTGAATGTTTGCCTTGTGTCTGTATATGCTGGAATCCATCCTCAGTCCCCTTGGGGAGATAGGGCAGAATACAAATAAAGTGTGTTAAAGTGTTACGGTCTCTCCTAATGGGCGTGCTTCCTCATTAATAAGTTTTACCACCATAATCACATTCTGATGTTGCTTGCCCAATTTGTTTCCTGTGAAATGTTGGAGGATATGTGACTCTATGATATCATCCTGCAGGGAGAACTGATTTATTGGACACCGTCCCTCTTCTGTTTTGGAGAAGGGAGTTGGCTTTTAGACTTAACACTATATAACTCCCTGCATAATTATGTTTGTTGCAGTTGATTCCTTCCCTCTTTCCATTTCCCAATCTAGGACGCATTCACACTGTAGAATTAATCCAGTTTGATACTGCTTTAACTGGAATCAATACAGTGGAATCTTGAGATTTTTAGTTTGATGAAGAACTAAAGGGGAGACTAAAGACTTTGTAAACTACAACTCCCATAATTTCATAGTATTGACCCTGGTAGTTAAAGTGATGTCAAACTGCATTCATTCTACAGCACAAATCAGTGATTTTCAACCTTCCCAATGCCACGATCCCTTAATATAGTTCATCAGGTTGTGATGACCCCCAACCATAACATTATTTTCGTTGCTACTTCATAACTGTAATTTTGCTACTGTTATGAATCGTAATGTAAATATCTGATAAGCAGGATGTATTTTCATTCACTGAACCAAATTTGGCACAAATACCCGATACAACCAAATTTAAATACTGGTGGGCTTGGGGGAGGATTGATGTTGCCATTTGGGAGTTGAAATTGCTGGGATTTGTAATTCAACTACAATCAAAGAGCAGTCTGAACTCCACCAACGATAGAATTGAACCAAACTTATCTCCCATTGCCAACAGAAAATACTGGAAGGGTTCGGTGGGCATTGACCTTGAATTCTGGAGTTGCAGTTCACCTACATCCAGAGAGCACTGTGGACTCAAACAATGATGGATCTAGATCCCACATGGCACAAATACCCAATATGCCCAAATGTGAACACTGGTGGAGTTTGGGGAAAATAGACCTTGACATTTGGGAGATGAAGTTGCTCTGATTTATAATTCACCTACCATCAAAGAACATTCTGAACCCCACCAATGATAGAAGTGGGCCAAACTTCCCACACAGAACCCCCATGACCAACAGTAAATGCTATGTTTTCTGATGGTCTTTGGTGACCCATCTGACATCCCCTGACGACCCCCCAGGGGTCCTGAACTCCAGGTTGAGAAACACTGGCATAGAGGCACTCTTATTCAAGACCCAGAAGTCAAATAAACCATTGACATATAGCTTTACATTTCTGTCATTAGTTAATCAAGATTTTTGTCTACGACAGTAGGAATGAAAAGATTACAATGTTCTGTCATTAAAACTTCCAGAATGTTTTTGACACTACACAGTTATGGCACTACGATGCTACTTGGTTCCAAAATCCTACAGTTCGTCATATATGAAGTGCTGAAGGTCTTTGAACAGATTATTTTAAATATAGTATGATCCCCCACATCCATGGGGGGGGGGGGAATGTTCCTAGGGATGATCAGTTACTTAAAATCAGGGATAATAGTGAACCCTATTGAACAAATAGCTTCCAGTAGAAATATACCATAGAACTGCACTGAAGAACCTAGGAAATATCGATAGAGAAAAACTTCCTGGGTATTACTAGGGGCACTTCCACACAGCCCTATATCCCAGAATATCAAGGCAGAAAATCCCACATTATCTGAGTGTGGACTCAGGTAACCCACTTCAAAGCAGATATTATGGGATTTTCTGCCTTGATAGTCTGGGATATAGAGTTGTTTGGCAGGGCCCTGATAGTAGTAGAAAAGGGGCTCCTTGAGGCGAAGGAAGACAGGTGCTTTCCCCCATTCCTCATTTGCTAAGTATATGCAAATACACGTGACTTCATGGTCAACTTTAATAATGTATTGTCGAAGGCTTTCATGGCTGGAATCACTAGGTTCTTGTGGGTTTTTTCGGGCTATAGAGCCATGTTCTAGAGGCATTTCTCCTGACGTTTTGCCTGCATCTATGGCAAGCATCCTCAGAGGTTGAGAAGGTCATTCTCAACCTTCTCAACCTCTGAGGATGCTCGCCATAGATGCAGGCGAAACGTCAGGAGAAATGCCTCTAGAACATGGCTCTATAGCCCGAAAAAACCCACAAGAACCTAACTTTAATAATAATAATAATAATAATAATAATAATAATAATAATAATCTTTATTTATACCCCGCCACCATCTCCCCAAAGGGGACTCGGAGAGGCTTACATGAGGCCAAACCCAGCAATACATTACAGCAGCATAAAATATAAACAACAAAATAACATCGCAATAAAAATAAACCAATCAAATAAAATAAATAGTACAGAATAACATAATGGAAAATCAAACACAGTGGGCGGGCCAAATGCACGACATAAAATGATAAAACTCTAGATGAGATAGCAATGAAACGTGCAATTTGTGAGGGAGGATACCATATAATTGTACTGGGGGGCCAAGGAAATGCATAGAGAGGACATATTTCGTCACGTGCAAGTAACTTAAACTGTGATTTATAGGCCCTGTGGCTACAGAAAGGAGGGGAGGAAGTCATACTGTACTCCTCCCTAAACTGCAAATTCCAAAATTCTTCAGGATGTAATTAAAGTGAAATTATATTCCTACAATTTCTGCTATGTGAAAATGCTGCAGGTAAAGAAAATTCAGAGTGGAATCAAAACAACATTCTGGATTGTTGCCCAGAAATCCTTGTTTAAACACATGCTTATCCTACCTCAAATAAATGACTGTACAATTTTACAGACTGGCAATGTGTTTTATATAGCTTTAGGTTTTTTTTTTAACAAAACTTTATTGAAGTTTTTGAAAACCAAATACAGATGTTGACCATTGCTTGTGAATTTCTGAATGGATCAGAAAACAATGTATGTGAACATAAATATAATAATAATGATGATTTATTATGTTTATTTATACCCCACTTTTTCTCCCTGCAAGGACACTCAAAGCAGCTTACATTTATTTATTTATTTAGTTATTTTGTGTCAAAAGCATTGCATAATTAAAACAAGTATAAAACTGATAAAATAGAGGGAATACAAGCAGCTAAATAATTTTAGACCAGTGGTTCTCAACTTGTGGATCCCCAAATGTTTTGGCCTTTAACTCCCAGAAATCCTAACAGATCTTGCTGTTGTTGGGGGAACATTAAGAGGAGTGGTGGTTCTCATGAAGCTTTTCCTTGATTTGAGTCTACTAATCACATGGTCTGCAGTCCCTCCCACAATCTTAAACAACATAGAGTTAAGGGAAACTGCATATCAATATATACATACAATATAGTAGTAAGCAATCACAGTTATATGCATAACAAATAACTAGCATAAAAGGCTTGTAGAAGGTTGCTATTTCCAACAGAGTACATCATTTTTAATTGTGGGATTTTGGGGTAGAGAATTGTTTGCCAAGATTCCCAAGCACAAAAGTTAGAAAGCAAAGTCTGACCAAAAATCTTACACATTTTCTTTTTGCCAGATTTTCAAGAAGTCATTGAGGATGTCCTGCCTATCCTAAAGAATGAAGGCGTGCAAGTTTTCTATCTGAGTGATGACTCCCCAACTCCTGGTGTGGAAGCTTTGCTGGGACGGATAAAATCCAGTTCATCCGATCCAATGTCTCTCTCTTCCAGAGCCAATATAACCCCTAATTCTACATCCTTGTATATTTTTACTTCTGGGACTACAGGTGAGTTGAGCTGTGTCTAAATTTACCTGAGAAATCCAGGTTAAAGCATTTTCAAGCATTTGTACTTTTACAAGTTCTTTAGCCTTCTCTGCCACATAATGTTGATATCTTGCTAAATTACAACTCCAATGATTCTATAGCACTGAGCCATGGCTGTTGAAGTGGTGTCAAACTGCATTGATTCTATAGTGTAGTTGCATCCATAGTTAGAATTATTGCCATAGGAATCAACAGAAACAGAGTGCCTTAATGCTCATGTGTGAATCACGTAGGAGCTGGGCATACGAATCCTTCTTCTCACATAAACCCAATTGTAAGCTCTGCAGCTTCAGTGAGAGCAACTGTCTCGTCCATACAATTTTTCTTAGATATTAAAGCTAACACACAGAATGTTGATGACAATAGAAAGATCGGGAGATTCAAGAAATGAGGGATGGAAAGGCAGCAAGCTTAGACAGTGTAGGGTCTGGAGCACCAGCTAAACCATTGATCTGGCTCAATATGAAGTGGAGTCAACCCTCCACATTTGTTAGGGTTAGCAGTAGAAGACACCTGCAAAAATAGAAAACCAGCTAAGTAGAGGCTCGTGTATCCGACATAAACGGGCCAGCAGAATGTCGGATAAATGAAAATGTTGGATAATACTGAGTCTCCTACTGTTACCCATGTGACACCACACTAGACATCTAGAATACTAACAACAGGGACTCAAAGAGTTAAGGCAAGGCGATGCCTCGGGGCTAAAGAGGAGCGTGGAAATTAGAAAGAAGGAGGGAGGACGCTTCTGCTTCCGGTCCTGCCTCTTTCCCCATTTTCCTCCCTCCTTCTCCTCCTTATCTTGCCTTTTTCACTTATTGGGAATGGAGAGAGAGTTGGGGAACATGCCTTTAATTGAAGAGGAAATGCTGGAGGAAAAGGGAAGCATCAGATAAGAGCGTCAGATAAGACGGAATGTCGGATAAGCGAACGTCGGATAAGCGAGACTCAACTGTATTTATTTTTTTACTTGAGAGAACATCTCCCTAGGAATCTCGAGGTGGCCAACCTCTGCCAGACATTTACCATAAGTTCATGCTGCAGGACCAACAAATGCCTAGATAAGTGTTCTCTTTAGGAAGCTGTAGTTCATTCATCACAACTCTGACAGAAGTTGGCAATAGAGTCACAATGGAGGACATTGCTACACATTAATCCACAAATAATCAATCTGTAAAAGTCAAACCTACAAACATCAAAGGTTAATTGTGCTGCTTCTTGTTTGAGGGAATATTTGTCATTGTTAAGTGAGCCATTTCTCTGGCTTTCTCTAGGGCTACCGAAAGCTGCTCTCATCACCCAGAGGAAGCTACTCATTGTGTCCGGCATGTTCCATATATGTGGGGTGAAGCCTCAGGATATCATCTATACCCCACTCCCACTTTACCACTCGGCTGCATTGCTTCTTGGGGTAGGAGGATGCTTGGAGGTTGGTATGTATAGAAGGGTCTAAATACATAAGGGTTTAAACCCACTTTCCCTTTGTGTCACAGACAAAAAAAGATATGCTAATATCTTAGTCTGTTAGAAGAATTAGATAGATGTGAGCAGTTTGAGAGATATTTTTGGTGAATTGACATCAGTGTGTAAAGATTGTTTGAGAGCAGATTCATGCTCAGCTCTCTAGGCTTTCAATATGCATTTCATCATCTGAGCCGTGGTGGTGGAATGGGTTAAACCCTTGTGCCAGTGAACTGCTGACCTGAAGACCTGAAGGTTGGCAGTTCAATTCTGTGAGATGGGGTGAGCTCCCATCTGTCAACCCCTGGCATCCCATGTGGGGACATGAGAGAAGCCTCCCACAGGATGGTAACACATCTGGGCGTCCCCTGGGCAATGTCTCTGTAGATGGCCGATTCTCTCACACCAGAAGTGACTTGCAGTATCTGAAATTTGAGATTTAAGTATGATGATTTCACAGTGTTTTTCTGTGTAGGTATTCTATGTACAAAGTATTAATAATGAAAAATCCTGAATTCCTTTTCCACCTTTTATAGTAGTAGTAGTAATAATAATAAGAACAACAACAACAACGTGTTACAGAGTTAGTCTCCCTTATCTAAAATGCTTTGGACCAGAAATATTTCAGATTTTGGCCCCACACCCATGATTTTGGAATACTTATATTTGCATATACTTAGTGAATGAGGAATGGGGGGAAGGGGGTTACTCACACATCCAGCATCTGTCTTCCTTCCCCTCAAGGTGGCCCTGATCTACTACTATCAGAAATCCAATGGGTGAAGGGGAGAGGATTCTCCTTACACTAGGCTCCTGTAAAAAGCAGACACCCCAAATTCTTCCCAAGCTGTCAACACATTTTTCATCCTCTTAGCAGGAAGGGAAAGCAAATTCTGCCCCTGCCTCCCACGAGTCTTTTTCATTCTTCTGGACTGGATACAGATGGTGCTCACTGGGGGCATGCCGTATTTGTATTCATGATCCATTTGTAGGGAGCACACTCTGCTGCACACTACCATTGGTGGCTGCTGGAAGTGTGACTAACCCCCTTTCCCCAAAGGTAGAAGTAGGTGATGCTAAAAAGTTTCAGTTCTTTTAGTATTTCAGTTTTCCAGATAAAGGAGAATCAATTTGCATTATTATTTCTTAACTACTTTCCCCTATTGATAGCGGTGGTGAACAACAGCAGATAACATGACATCAATTAAAATCATAAATAAAACCAATATATATTAAAATGTGGATATTATGGCTGACAGAGTGTCTATGAACTTTGTTTTCTTCCTGCATCAAGCTTTTTGTTGTTCCACAAGATTCACAATAATCTACTCCTAACCACTTTTCTCTCTCTTTCTTTGGCTTTCATAAGGAGCTACACTTGTCTTGAGGTCAAAGTTCTCCGCTTCCCATTTCTGGGATGACTGCAGGCGATATCATGTCACCGTGATCCAATATGTAGGAGAAATGATGCGCTACCTGTGTAATTCACCAAAGGTAACTGGGAGAAACCACATATGTTGGGAGAAAGGAGGCAAAATTGCATTGAAGCCCTTGCTCGAGTCTAGAATTTAATAGCCGGAATAATAGCAATGTTCTTGGAATTAAAATACTTAGAATAAAAAATCCTAATTATGGTTCATGTGTCATGAATTGGCTTTGCCCTTTTGTGTTTCCCAAGAGTCAATAAAGGCCAATGGTCCACTTTCTAGAGTCATGGTTCTCAACCTGTGGGTCCCCAGATGTTTTGGCCTTCATCTCCCAGAAATACTAACAGCTGTTAAACTGGCAGGGATTTCTGGGGGTTGTAGGCCAAAACACCTGGGGACCCACAGCTTGAGAACCACAACTCCAGAGTCTCTAGTTGACTGTTAATCTGTGAACTACTGCCATTTGATTACATATTGGGTAGAACGAAGATTTGTCCACAATAGTCAAACCTACAAATGTGGAGGGCTGACTATAGTACCTTGTAGGAAAATCTAGCTAGATGAAGAAAAGCAACTTATGAAAGATTCCAGCCCAAACATTTAGAGTTGAGACACAGCACAGACGAACAGCTGCTAATAGCACATCTGTTTTACCACAATGATTGCCCTGACTAATTGCCTTGCAGAGGGACAATGACCGTGACCACAGTGTGCAGAGAGCGATAGGCAATGGCATGCGGATCGAGGTCTGGAAGGAATTCCTCCGTCGATTTGGATTCCTGCAAATCTTTGAGTTCTATGGAGCAACGGAGGGGAATGTTGGGTTCATTAACTACACTGGGAAAGTTGGAGCTGTGGGACGAACTCACTTCCTTCACAAGGTAATGAAGTGGAAGATGATTCATGATTCATGATTGGAGATGTAACTGGTTAGGAGGAATCCTGCTGTTATCTGCACTCCGTGAACAAAGATCCTGCTAATATTGGCGTTTGAGTGTATAAATCGATAAGAGACTTGAGAGGAATCTTCTGAAGGTTGGATAGAAAGATTGTGGCTGCATTACTGTGGGATTATGAAGTTACTTTTCCTGCTTTAAGGATTTGCTGTAATTCCTATACCAGAATAACAAACTCATCGGTCATCTGAGTCGTTCATAAAACATATTCTGATGCTTGCACAGGAACTTTGGCCTTAGGACTGAGATTTCCATTTCCTATTTGTTCCATTTCAGAAAATGACCATGTTTGAAATTGTTAAATACGATGTTGACCAGGATGAGCCAGTAAGAAACGAGAAAGGGCAGTGCATCCCAGTAGCCACAGGTAAGTTTGTAAAATCAACATGCACATATGGATTGGAGTTATAGAAATATAATATTATTTTTAGATGTCTTTGTCTTCTATCCAAATATTCCATACATTAAATGCAAACTCATTCTCTTAATCATAGGCCCTATGTAAAAAGATGAAAAGCCATAAGAGGGTTAAATGGTTTGTACCAGGACTATACAATACCCCTCCACACACATATCTTAGTGGCCCAGGTAAAATCATTCTGATTGGTCTGAGAAAATTTAAATGTCAATTGATTGAAAGTTCTACCCATTTAAAAATTATCTAGTTATCATTTTTGGCAGCTGAGTGGGAATTCAGTTAAAGAGTTCAGTTAAGGAGTGAGAAGGGTAGTGAGTTGGGGTGTATCTACATTGTAGAACAGGTATGGACAAACTAAGACCTGGGGGGGGGGCAGGGTGGATGCGGTCCTTTGGGTGCTTACCTCAGGTGCTCCTCATTTTCCCTGTCCTCTCAGCATAAGGATGTGGCAGCATGTCGCTTCCTTATGCAGAAAAGACAGGGGAGGAAGGCACACAGCAACTGAGAGCTCTCAGGAGTGCTCTCGGGCACTGCGTGTCTCACCCTCCTCCTGGCATATTGCCAAGAGTACAGCCCGAAGATCGGGAGAGGACGATCAGGGAAATTGCTAAATGTCTAATTTTCCTCCTGGCATAAGGATGGGGCAAGCAGCCCCATCCTTATGCCAGAAGCACAACCTGTGGATGACCCACTCCTAGGCCTGTCCTACCCAGTGCATGCCCATCTGCCCTCCCTCCTGGCCCAGCCCTCTCAACTGGGCCCATAATCCAGCCCAAAGGGGAAAAGGTTTGCCCATGCCTTTTGTAGAATTAATGCAGTTTGACACCAATTTAACTATCATGGCCCAATGCTATGAACTCAAAGGAGTCGTAGATTTACAAAGTCTTGAGCATTCTCTGTCAACAGTATCAAGGATCTCATTTATACGTCTAGAGCAACATATCTTCAGAAGACATTAAACAAATGATAGCAAAACAAATGGGACAAGGTAACCAATCCTGGTAGAGAGTGTCAGTGAATCTTACAGACTCAAAAGGAAAAGCTGTTTAAATTACTTTTATCCCGCCTAATTTTGTTCTTACATACTTTTACTAAAGCGCATTATAGCCCAGCAGGGAGTCAGTGCTGCTGTCTTCTGGTGGAATGTGTATGTTGAACAAGGAAGCTTTTTTCAGTGATCTGTTTTCATATTGTGATATTTTGCTACCAGAAATGGAACACTAAATTTGCACCCTTCCCATATGTTAAGGCATGCTATGTCTAATACTGGACAGGTTCTGGTGCCAGTGGCAGAAAATTCCATAAGCATCTACCCATTCTTTTTCCCAGTAAGAAAAACACAAGGGAGGAAGACAGTACAAAATGTACTGTCCTTTTGTAATACCTCAAATCAGCTGCCTGATTTGACAATAGGTATGAAACTGTATAGCAGTGGTTCCAGGTTGCATCAATAAAAGCATAGTATCTAGATCAAGGGAAGGACTATTACCACTGCATTTTGCTTTTGTAACCTGAATACTATGTCCAGTTATAAGCACCAGAGTTTTTGGAGTAGACACTGACAATGTTTCCATACAAGGGTGACCACAACATTAAAGGACTGGAGCAGCTTAGGAAGCTAAGTGTGTTTAGCCTAGAAAAGAGAAGGCTAAGAGGAGATGTTATTGCCATGTTTAGCAATATTTGAAAGGACAACAACTTGTTTTCTGCTGTCCAGAGACTAGGACATGGAACACCTCAACATTAGGAAGAGTTTGTCGACTATGGAAAACACTGCCTTGGAGTGTGGTAAAATATTTTTCTTTGGAGGTGTTTAAACAGAGGTTGGCTAGCTATCTCTGAGGAGTGATTTGATTTTATATTCCTGTATGTCAGGGGGCTGGACTGGATAGCCATTGTGGTGTCTTCCAACACTATGATTCTTTAGCCATTGTAGTGTCTTCCAACACTATGATAGCCATTGTGGTGTCTTCCAACACTATGCTTATTCCTCTGGGTCTTTTTTACTCTGCAGGTGAAACAGGCTTACTAGTGTCCAAGATTACCGAGGTCACCCCATTTTCAGGCTATGCAGGAGACCGTAAGAAATCAGAGAAGAAGATTCTCCGGGATGTCCTGAAAAAGGGAGACAGTTTTTTTAACAGTGGTGACCTTCTGATGCAAGACCACGAAGGTTTTATATATTTCCAGGACCGAGTAGGAGACACTTTCCGGTAAGCAACACAATACATCTATGGCATGGGTAGAATTTTCTCCTTTGCCTTCATTCACTGTAGTTAGGGACTCAGAACCTCTGGAAAGTGGAAAGATATTTTTAAAAGCTACTTTTTAAACACGGGAGAATATTTCTCTAGGAGGTATTCTAATGGAGATTGACCATAGACTCATGCTGCAGGAACTACAGGTATATAGAGATGTGTTCGCTTTAGGAATCTTTATGTCTTCCAGGACAGGATTATGGCCAACTTCATTCTGATGGACCTAGAAATTTTGAAAGAGAATGTATTAATCAGATCTGTGAGTGATTAAATATGTACAGATCAAACATGCAAATGTAGAGGGCTGTCTGAATTTTTGTACAGCTCTCCAATGCACAAGGGTTTTTGGGCAAAGAAATAATAAAAACCAATTAAAACAAAATAAGAAAAACTAAATGAAACATATTAAATATTCTTTAAGAATTCCTAAAAATAAGCCTAGAAACAATTATAACATTGCTTTCATACACTTTAAAAAAGTGATGTGTTGATGGCTGATATATCATTGACTATGCTTGAGGATTGCTGTAACCAATGCACAGAGCAATAATATGCATATTGGCAAGTCAGTAAGTTAGTCTACTTGTGTCCAAATGGACTGATGACCTTCATACCCCTGTGTTTATGGTCCCATCTACACAGACACTATAATCCATCTTGAAGCTGGCTTAAGGTTGTGGTGTCTACAAAATGTTCACCTCCAATGTAACCTCCAACAAGCATCCAGCGCGTTAAAAAAAACTAATTGAAAAGCTCAAAATCAGTCGCAAAATTTGCTGTAGCCAATCACTGTATGGCCACTGTAGAACAGGAATTAGAGATCAATGTGTGGAGTATGCATGAGGGCTAGTCATGGAACATTTGGATAAAGGAACCAGATACATAGCTCATCTGGAAGGTAAACAAATTCCTTCCCTCTGGAAAGGAAATTAATTTTTTTCTTTCCTGCTTTGCCTTGAATTGCTGTAATGTGGATCTTTATCAGATAGAGTGATTCTTTGCACTGCATCTTGCCAGATAAAATAGTGAGAAAAAAATATTTATTGCAACGGGTTAATCAGCAATCTGCGAATCTGTATGGACTCCACTCCAGCTTCAACCTGGTTTCCAGGGTGCCTATGTAGATACTCTGGAGAAAAATGGATGTTTTTCGGCATCCTGAATTGGATTAAATGGCTGTGTAGAAACATGTTGTCTATATGTTTCTACACAGAATTTCTGCAGAATATGAGCATCACCTAGGCAGGTGATGAAGGGAATTGGCAAAGAAAAAGGAAACCTTTGAGTTGAATCTCCCATGACTTCTCCCTTGAGCATGGTGTTATTATTAGCACAAAAGACACAATATTAATAACTCCTCTCTCACTGCAGCTGGAAAGGGGAGAATGTGGCTACAACAGAGGTTGAGAGGACTTTTGCTGCATTGGACTTCATTGAGGAAGTCAATGTATATGGTGTGCCAGTGCCAGGTGGGTCTCAAATGTAGTTATTTATATCACATCTTTGTGATGCCCCATTTAATGTCCAAATGTATGGCATGAAAAAGCTATGACATCAGTAGTTAGGAATTTTTATTCCAAGTATTTATTATTATTATTCCAAGAACATTGCTATTATTCCAGCTGTTAAAGATATTGATGGAGTATTGTTTTTTGAACACTGATTATTTGGTACATCTATAAGTTACGATGCAAAATGACCTTCTCCCACTTGGTCCTGTACAAAGTAGACCACTTTCTCAAAAGCAAGGCTAGACAAATGCTGGCAGTCTGGGGAAGCATTTATGACATCTTTAAAGGGATAGAAAAATGGAAAGACAAAATGTTTTGATACAAAGTGCCCCTGAACTGGTTCTGTTTTCCCACCACGGGATTCCAGCTATTTGTCTCGTAACTCACATTTATATCCCCATGAGATAATGGTGCAGTGTGTAGGAAAAAAGGGAGGAGGGAACCATCCCTTCCTCTTGTAGAAAAAGCAACCCTTGGAGATTTTTCACATTTTTGTGCGTAATATGTAATCCCATGATTTTAAAAAAGCAACTCTGGTTTGTTTCAGGGCATGAAGGAAAGACTGGAATGGCAGCAATACGTCTGAAAGATGGGCTGTCCTTTGATGGAAAAAAGCTGTATGCACACGCCAAGGATTACATGCCAAACTATGCCATACCTCGCTTTGTGCGTCTCAGGGTGAGCATGACAAAAAAATCCAGAATAACACAATAATATGTGGGAGACCACAGTGCAGATAGAATGATTAAATTAAGGAACCCACAGCCCAGAGTTTACAGGACTTGAGTTTGAAGAGATATCTTGGAGGTCTCTCATTCATAGAGATGTCATAAGTCCAAATTGAGAGGAGGATCAATAACCACAATTAAGGCTGATTAAGGAAAGTAGAAGGTAAGGGGAAAGTAGAAGGTAAAAGGAAGAGGGGCCGACCAAGGGCAAGATGGATGGATGGCATCCTTGAAGTGACTGGACTGTCCTTGAAGGAGGTGGGGGTGGTGACGGCCGACAGGGAGCTCTGGCGGGGGCTGGTCCATGAGGTCACGAAGAGTCGGAGATGACTGAACGAATGAACAACAACAGCAACAAAGGAAGATGTCCCAGTACAATGGTCTTTATGGCTCTGATTATAGTCTTTCAGGTGGACTCACAGATCAGCAGGCCTCCAATATAAGCCAACAATCAAAAGATCCAGCCATGGTTCTCCTGCAGGTTTTAGTGTTCAGCAACCTGACGTAATGTAAATCACCAAAGAATTAGGCAGGGAGTTCTCCCAGTGTTCACAGCCATGTCTCATCCTTCTATCTTACTTTAAATTGACTAAATGACGTGGTCTGATTTGGGCTCCATTGGTTATTTTTTCTTGCAGGAAGCCCTGGAGATCACTGAAACATTCAAACAATGCAAAGGTCGATTGGTGAAGGAAGGATTCGACCCAGCCGTCATCAATGACCCCTTGTACTTCTTAGATGACTTGGAAAAATGTTACGTGCCCATGACTAAGGAGATCTTCAGCTCCATCACAAAGAAGAAACTGAAATTGTGAAAGATCTTCCACAGGGAAACCAGAAGGAGCTGTAATTGGGAGACTCTTGACCTCTACCTGGGAAAGTGGAAACTGTCAAACCAGATGATTAAAATCTGCCAACCCGGGGAACATGTTCTTGTGTGTGACAAACCTGTGTACATGAATGGCAGCTGGTGGTTCTCACATGATTAGGGTGATGAACATGCTCTAAATTTTAGGATGAACTTTGAATGAGTTGTCTGGTGCCTTATTTACAGATCATGGATAGTTCATTTTGAAATTCAAACTAAAACTCAGGGCAGATTCATCACCCTGCTGGCTGCCTCTCACTATTGGTGTATGTATGAATGTCTGTGAAATAATCCCTTTGCTTTTCCCTGCTGTGTCCATATCAGTTGTTGGTTCTGTATTGTATATATTGAAAACTATGTAGAAGAGGCAATGGTCCTGTGCTCTTCACCACCTGGAATGCTTTTTCTTCCTATGATTCACATGTGTGTGTTGCACCCACCGATACAAATATAATCACATGCAAAGTGTGTGACAGCAGACACTTATGGGGAAGTTGGAACTTGCCTTTAGGAAGAAGATATCTTTCTCCATTGCCACATTCATATTTATTGTGGAGACCCACCTCTGTAACAGATTGGACTATTCTTTTAAATATAGTCACTGAAACTTAGGTGCAACCACTCTCTGCCTCAGATGACACAGCAAGATGTAATTCCCCTAAAATGGCTACAACTATGAATTTTACACTATGGATTTCTAGTTTACGTTACCCTAGAAAAAACCACTCTATATTCTAGAAGCTTTTATGTGCTCAGATTATTTGTACAGTAAAAATATCAGAAGACCTAGAAAAATGCTTAATTTCAGTAAGGACTTCATCACACGCAATAAAGGCAGGTTTCTACACATTTAAGAAATGGCTACCGATGGAACCCATCATATGATGCAAGCTTGTCTCGTTAGTTCCAGGTATTTTGCCATTTCAAAAGTGTGTTTTTTGTTTTATGCTTCCTCAATCAATTGGGAAGTGACTTCTTTTTTAAATTCCCTGCATAGAAACTCATAAAAGCATGAAATTTAATGTGTGATGGGAATTTCCCATTGTCCCCATAGAATTCCCCATAGAATAATATATATATAGAATAAATTCCATTTATTTATCTCTTGTTAAAAAGCACTTCCACAAGAACAAACAGAGGATTTCTTCAAGTAAAAAAAATGGGGGAAGAGACACTGGGAGGATAATGTCTCCCATGTGATGAGGAGGCAAACAGATTATTTGAAAAGAAAGCTGAATGAAGGAAATGTGAGGAAAATCATTTGTTTAATTTCCAAACCAGGCATTGCAACGCTTAAGAGAAAAACATTGATCCTCAATGCTTTACTTATTGTGTGAGATGAAGTCGTAAGATTCCTCACTTCATGCTCCAAGACTCAAAAATTCAATCAACATGTTTCAGTGTGGTCACCTAAATCACCTAGTTGTTGCCTTTCTTTGGGTTTGGTGTTTGTATGCGTGCATTTGCAGGTTGGTATTTCACCTCCCCCTTCCTTATAGATTTCACCTTATGTGGGACATATGGCAGGCACCAAACTGTGATAGGTGCTAAAGTAAGTCTTAGTAGATGAGTTTGGGAAGAGGAAGTAGAATATATGAGCAAAATGTTTCACTTGGGGTGGTCATACAGAAGAGGCAACCAAAAATTTAAGACTGTGTGCAAAAATATTTTGACATCTATTTGCAAGACATAGGAAAGAGTACAATTAAAACTGCCTTGAGCTGGAGCCAAGGAGTAGAAACAAAAGGCCAGTAGTATGTCCTTCCACATATATCTAGCTGCGAAAGCACATTTGGTGGCCATGAAGGAAAACCATGGTGGCAGTCTAAGAGAGGAGAGAAGAGTGCTGCACCACTAAAATCTGTCATTAATTTTTAAATCCCATCCTCTTCCAAAATGTGAAATTTGTAAAATGACTGATGGTTGTGTAAGATTAGAGAGGACAATGTATTCCAAACATCACAGCACAATTCCACCTGTTTGCCTTGAAATAATGTGCTCACTGTTCATGTTTTTGGTGTGATGTGAATTAGCAGGATAGAAGAAATAAATAAAATTAAAATGTTGGAAAGATCATGAAATGTCGTGGATGGCAGAAACTGGATTTCTTACTTGTTACCAATAGCTGGTACCTGGGACACCTCTACAATCTTTTTAGATGTTTCAAAATTTAATGGGATATTCAGTTTAGGATTGCGAGCTCCTAACATCCTCCCATTTTGGGATGTTGGCTAGAAGCTAATGGAATTTGAAAACCAGTAATATTTGGAGAACTAACTTATATTGAAATAAAGCATGTAAGGCACATTCATATTACAGTATTACTTCCGTATCAATAGGGAATATGTTACTGGACTTACTGTGGAAACATGAAACTACAGATAATAGCAACCCATGTTGAAAGGAATGACTATCGGTGGACACTTACCAGAGAATTGCTCTGGAGTCTTAGCAAATGTTTAGAGCAGCGGTTCTCAACATGTGGTTCACGACCCCTAAGAGGGTTGAATGATCCCTTCCAGAGGGGTCGCCACCACCTCCTTTGACCCCCTCCTTCTGTGTCTCCCCGGAATGGCTACTGGGCCCCCTCTGCCAGCCAAAAAGTCAGCTAGCATCCATGCTCATGCCGATTCAGTTCCTCCTATCATTCCTCCTCCTCCGGTGGCATGAGGTGGAGCGGAGTTACAGGGAGGTGCTTGAAGGCAGAGGCACATGCAGTGACCCCTTCTCTCTTGCTTTTTATCTTTCTTCCTCTCCTTCCCCTTTTCTTTCTCTCTTGTGCCCCTTTCTCCCTTCCCTTTTTATTTCTTTCCTCCTCTTTCTTCCTCTCCCTTTCTCTCTCTTGTGCCTCGCGCTCACTTTCTTCTTTCTCTCTTCTTCTTTCCCTTTCTTTTTTATCTTTCCGTTTTTCATCCTCTCTTTTTCTCTTTCTCTTGTGACCCCCTCTCCTTCCTTCTTTCTCTCCCTCCCTTACACCTCCTTTCCTCTCTCCCTTTCTTTTCTCTTTCCCCATTTTTCTCTCCCCGTCCCCCCTTCTCCCCTATCTTTCTTTCTCAGATCCGAGGAAGGCAATGGTGACAACACAATCTGTCCAAGAAAATCCTGATGGTTTTAGCCTAAGATTTGTCCTTCCTTTTCACCCTGCTATGTGTGAGATATAGGTGGCAAAAACGTATTCGTATTATTGAAAAAACAGTGGAAGAGATGGCCACAAAAGGTAATGGATTCTTTTCCTTTGGAGATCTTTAAACAGAGGTTGGATGGTTATCTTCCAGAAGGACTTTAGTTGTGTACAGTACAACCCACTATCTGTGAGAGTTACATTCCTGAACTTACCATGGAAACAGGAAACCATGGATAATAACAAACTATATTGAAATGAATGATTTCCACCAGAAGTTGCCATAGAATCACTCAGAGGACCTAGTAAACTCTGAGAGAGGATATATTTTGTCAGATGTGGGTTGCTGAATCTAGGTACCAATCCCGTGGGTGGAGGATTTCTACTGTATTCTTTAATGGCAGGGGCTTGGACTAGATAGCTCTTGAATCCAAAAATCAACCCCCCTGAAATTGGGGAGCAAAATCATTGACATTTTTCAAGCCTAAACAAAGAATCACGAAATCAGCTACAGGAATATCTCAGACTATTTCAAGAGAATCCATACAGCAATGAGACTACAGCAGCAGGCAAAAAATTATCTACAGCCATAGCTAAAGCTTAAAAAGTCCGCTGGATAGAACTACTTGAGAATCTTGACATGTCTAAGAGTAGCCAAAGAACCTGGCAATTGCTGAGACACCTGGATAGTGACCCTCTGGGCAATTGTGGACATGCAAACGTAACACCAGACCAGATAGCACATCAGCTAATTAAGAATGGGAAAACTAACTGAAGCAAAGTAAAGGTGAAAATCAACAGGGTGCCGGAACTTGAAACCCACCAGTTGACATCTCCCATAAACCTGAAAGAACTCAGAGAAACTATTAAGTGATATAAAACTGGTAAAGCACCTGGCCTAGATGACTTAATGATGGAGCAAATCAAACCCTTGGGCCCCAAAGCTGAAAACTGGTTTTTGAAATTTTACCATCAGTGCTTGGTACAGATTCCCAGACTATGGAGGAAAACTAAGATAATTGCCATTTTAAAAACTGGTAAAGATCCTTCCAATACCAGGAACTACTGGCCCATCTCACTCCTATGTCATCTATATAAAGTATATGAGAGGGTACTACTAAATCAATTAGGACCTGTTATTGAACCCCAGCTTATTGCACAACAAGCAGGTTTCAGGCCAGGGGAAAACTCTACTGCCCAAATTCTTAATCTGACTGAGTACATCGAGGAAGGATATGAGAAAGTTTGCATTACTGGGACAGTTTTTGTCAAACTTACAGCAGCCTATGAAATGGTGCAACATAGGAAAATGCTGCAGAAAGTCTACCATATTAACTGAGACTATGATTTCACAAAAACTATCCAGACTCTCCTAGAAAACCGTAGCTTCTATGTGGAGTCTCAAGGCAGGAAAATTAGGTGGAGGAGGCAAAAGAATGGCTTATCCCAAGGCAGCGTTCTTGCACCGACCTTGTTTAATATCTTTACTAACGATCAACCACAACCTCCACTCACAAAGAGCTTTATATATGCTGATGATCTTGGCTTAACAACACAAGCAAAAGACTTTGAAACAGTTGAACTCCAACTTACTAATCCTTTGAAAAATCTTTCCAGCTATTTCAAAGATAACCAGCTGAAGCCTAACCCTGCCAAAATACAAGTGTGTGCTTTCCATCTATGCAACCGTGAAGCCAAAAGGAAATTGAAAGTCACCTGGGAAGGTCAAGAGCTTGAAATTGTTTCTATCCTAAATATCTTGATGTCACCTTAGATTGAACACTAGCATATAGGAAACACTGCTTGAACACCAAGCACAAAGTAGCTGCACGCAAAAACATCCTGCGAAAACTTACGGGCAGCACATGGGGTGCAGACCCAAAATTAATAAGAACATCAGCCCTGGCCTTGTCTTACTCAATTGCTGAGTATGCCTGTCCTGTTTGGCATAGGTCTACCCATGTAAAGCAGGTGAACATAGCATTAAATGAAACATGCAGAATAATCACAGGATGTCTTAACCCTACACCTGTTGATAAACTCTACAAGCTATCTGGCACCCCCCCCCCCCCGATATGCGATGGGAAAATTGTTGCTAAATGCGAGAGAAATAAGTTTGAACACTGTGAAAACCATCCACTACATGGCTACCAACCTTTTCCCAGCAGACTCAAATCAATGAAAAGCTTTATGAGAACTACCATTCCTCTTGGTATCTCTCCAGCAACAGCAAAGGTACCCCCTGGGCACCTAAACTAGGAAATCCCAACTGGATGGCTCCTCGCGAGGGTCTTCCTCCAGGGCAAACCAAGAATGGGCAACTTGGAAGTCCCTGAACAGACTCAGAAGTGGAGTGGGCAGATCAAATGACAACCTGGCAAAATGGCACTACCTAAAATAATCCCATACCTTGTGTGACTGTGGAGCAGAACAGACAACTCTGCATCTGTATGCCTGTCCACTGTGCCCAGTACAGAGGAAGAATTGTTGGAGGCTACAGACAATGCTGTTGCTGTTGCCCGTTTTTGGTAAAAAGATATTTAGCCACCTGCACACCTTCTATTTTTATCAGTTTTATGCAATGCTTTTGATATGAAATAAAAAAAATAAACAATCACACCATGAAGTTGAAGAAGTGAAGTGGTTCAGTCTTCACTTGTTCTTTTTTTAAAAATGATCTTTATTAAGTTTTCAAAATACATTAAAAAGACGGGAGGAGAGGGGGAGGGAAGGGGGAGGGGAGCAGGGTACAATTTCAACAGGTATCACATCTACACCGAAACATACATACCTCTACACACTACACTAACTATCACCCCTACACACTTGCATATAAGACAAAACAAGTTAAAAGATGACTTCCTTTTTGTTTCCAAACGGTCATAAAACTGTGTCTTCTAATTTTCCTTAACTTCAGGGAAAGACCCCTAGTTAATTTTGGATCCTTCCATTTCTTTTTCTGCCATATGTGACTCTCCCCTTTTCAGATTTTATTTATTTATTTATTTGTTTGTTTATTTATTTAGTTTTCTTATAATCTATCAATTTTACTCTTCTCATAATCCTCCAAACATATCCAGTCTGTTTGTTTCACTGGACTACCAGAGCTGTTCCCCAGGAGATATGTCAATTTATCCATATCCCTTATATCTAATAGTTTTTCTAACCATTGATCTACAGTTGGGATCTGCTCTTCCTTCCAGTGTTTCGCAAATATTATACGTGCTGCAGTCATTATATATGTGAACAGGACGTCCTCATTATTACTTAGATTTAATTCATTATCTGTAAGGCCTAGGATGAAGTACTCTGGATTGCGTGGAATCTTTCTTTTTAGGATTTTTTTGGTTTCTTCTTGTATAGTCTGCCAGTATTTGGAAGTTTCTGGGCACGTCCACCACATGTGGAAATAGGTTCCTGTTTGTTTTTTACATTTCCAGCATACATTTGGATATTTTCTATACATTAAACTCAGTTTATGAGGGGTCATATACCACCTATGGAAGGTCTTCAACCAGTTCTCCTTTAATGCTACCGAGTATGTATATTTCAATTTCCTTCTCCAGATCTGTTGCCATTCCTGAATTCCAATCTGGTGTCCTATATTCCTTGCCCACACTATCATACAATTTTTAATTTCCTCCGTTTCCGTTTCCCAGTCCAATAATTGGTTATATATTTTAGAGATCACTTTCCTTTCTGTTTTTGTTATTTTGTCCCATATAGTCTCTTTCTCCTCAAAACCTATCCTTTCGTCTTGTTTAAATATCTCATTAGTCTGGAAATATTGCAGCCATGTGAAGTTTTTGTATTTTTTAGCAAGTTCTTCTTGTGACTTAAGTTTCCAAGTGTTGCTATTTTTATTTTTTTCCACCAAATCTTTATTTGTGGGCCAGTGTTGCCATCCTAAGAGCCTCCTCTGGCTAGCCTCGATCGGTAAAATCCAGAGGGGTTTTTTTTGTATAGAAGTATTTTCTATATTTGTCCCACACTTTCATCAGGGTGGACCTGATAAAATGATTTCCAAAGTTTTTTTCCACCTTGGTCTTACCGTACCAAATGTACGAGTGCCACCCTACCCTCAGGTTGAATCCCTCCAGGGTCAGCACCTTCTCATTTTTCAACGTTGTCCAGTCCTTTACCCAACAGTCTTCACTTGTTCAAATTGCATACTGGGAAGATCCCCGACTGAAATCTGGAGGTCACAACCTCTGAGGATGCCTGCCATAGATGCAGGCAAAAAGTCAGGAGAGAATGCCTCTGGAACATGACCATACAGCCCAGAAAACTCACAACCCAGTAATTCCGGCTATGAAAGCCTTTGGGAATCTGGAGGAACTGTTGACAGTGATAGACGATTGCACCTAGTTGGCAAATTGTAAGATATTCCTGTTGCATGCCAGATGAGGTACTATGGATAGGAATGGTAGGGAGCAAAGAACACAGTACTGATTGCATAAATCAAAGTAACTTGACTGGGATCCAAGTGTGTTATCTAATCAGCCTGCGGGAAAGCGAGGGGAGGGGAGTGAATACAGTCTCATCCATACCTGCTTTTTTGCTTTTGCCTTCCATGCAAGAGGACAATTCAAGGCTTCTGGTTCACTGGCGCTAACTCCTAATCCTAGCCATGGGAAGCCTGTTGACAGTTGTGGTGGGACTCCTGATCCTTATGCCCCTCTTGGGGAATATTTTCTTTCCTTACCTTTGGCTGGATGTGTCCTTCCTCTTCACCATGCTACGTGTGGGATATAGGTCTCAAAAACGTATTAGAAGCAACCCGCCCTTTACCATACTGGACATCTTCTTAGAGAAAGTCCAGAAACAACCAGAGAAGCCTCTGATTCTCTTTGAAGAAGAAGTCTACACCTACAGAGACATCGACAACTGGAGCAGTAAAGTGGCCAGAGTGCTACAAAGCCACGTGGGCCTGAAAGAAAGGGAAACAGTGGCTGTTTTTTTAAAGAATGTCCCTGCCTATCTTTGGATCTGGATGGGCCTGGAGAAGATTGGCTGTACCATGGCCTGTGTCAACTATAACATCCGATCCAAGTCCCTGTTACATGTGATCAGCTCCTGTGAAGCCAAGGTGCTACTGACAACACCAGGTGAGGGCTGCCTAGATATAAGAAATGGTTGCACCAAGAGGGATATGTCTATTCTGTGCTAGTCACATGATCACAGCTAGCGTGTACATATCAGGATGAACACCTTTGTTATTACACATCTCTTTATTTGTACAATTGTGCTGATTTGCCAAACCATGGTCCTGCAGTCATCCTCCCACATACCCATGTAACTCATACTTCCTCTACTTCATATATATAATTTTACATCATTTTCTCAGAATCAGCAATAATTATTAGCAACATATCAAAGTCAAATATTAATGGAGGAGAAGGTGGGTGGAGAGAATACCACATACTGACACCTGCCAGCTCTATACGGGGCATATTTTCCAGCCCTCAGTTGAGGAACTTAGTGACCCTACTTTGGTGCCATCTTAAGAATTCTGGTAACACCTTCATGAACGGTCACTGTTAATCCCATTTTATAGTTGATGGACTGAAGCTGATAAATACTAGCTTTCTGAAGACCACTCAGCCTGGTGGATAATATGGTTTAGTAAACACAAAAACAAAGGCAAATATTCCAGGTATATACAAAAAGTTATTGTTTTAAGGGAAATCACCGACAGGTTGCAAAGCTGCTTCTGCTGAAAAGTGCCAGTGACATGTATTTGTCTTATTAGGGTGGCTGCTGATGAGAAGCTGGATTGCCCAACCAAAACTAGGATGAATGCCATTTGATACCACTTTAATTGACATGTCTCAAAGCTATGGAACCATGGAAGTTATCATTTTACAAGACCTTTAGCCCTCTCTGCCAGAGTGCTGGTTCATCAACAAACTACAACTTCACTATAACTGAGCCATGGCAGTTAAAGTGGTGTCAAACTGTATTACTTCTACAGTATAGATGCATTTTAACATGTACAATAGAGTCTCACTTATCCAACATAAATGGGCCGGCCGAACGTTGGATAAGCAAAAATGTTAGATAATAAGGAGGGATTAAGGAAAAGCCTACTAAACGTCAAATTGCGTTGTGATTTTACCAATTAAGCACCAAAACATGTTTTACAACAAATCGACGGAAAAAGCAGGTCAATACATGGTAACGTTATGTCGTAATTACTGTATTTACGAATTTAGCACCAAAACAGGCAAGGGTTCTTTCTTTCTTCCACCCTGGACATTATTCCGGGTGGGAGGCAGACTGCGTTGGATAATACAGAACTTTGGATGAGCAAAGGTTGGATAAGTGAGACTCTACTGTATTTAACAATTGCATGTGATATCGCCCACAAATTCCCTCTATGAATAGGCTGTATATCAGGCATGGACAAACTTTGGCACTACAGGTGTTTGGATTTCAACTTCCACAATTCCTAACAGCCGGTAGGCTTTTAGGAATTCTGGGAGTTGAAGTCCAAAACACCTGGAGGGCCCAAGTTTGCCCATGCCTGCTTTATGTGCAAAAGTTACATTGGTGGAAGTGGTTCATAAGCAATATACTATATAATTTCTACATGAGTAATTTACATTTTGACCTTCCAAGACAGAAGAGATTCCCAAAAAGAATGCTTAAGAAGTCCATTCAGATTTCTATTCTTTTTTCTCTTTAAGACTTTCAAAGTGCAATTGAAGACATCCTGCCTACTCTAAACAATAAAGGGGTACGCATTTTCTACCTGAGCGATGACTCTCCAACTGAAGGCGTGGAAGCTTTGCGGGGACAGATCAAATCCAGCTCAGCTGAACCAGTGCCTGCTTCTTTCCGAGCCAATGTAACTTCCAAATCAGCATCCTTGTATATTTTCACATCTGGAACCACAGGTGAGGATAACGGATATAACCTCAATGACAGACCATGTTGTTAGACTGCAAAATATTTTCCTGTGCTTTGTGTACACCATGTTTTGCAATTCTTGGTGCCTCCAGCTAGAAAAACCAAAGTTTCCAATACGTTGGAGACTTGCTGCCAGGCAGAGCATTGGGTTGTCAGTGGTTCTCAAACTGTGAATCCCCAGGTGTTTTGGCCAAGAAATCCCAGCAAGTTTACCAGCTGTTAGAATTTCTGGGAGTTATAGGCCAAAGCATCTGGGGATCCATAGGTTGAAAACCACAGGGTTAAATGATTCAGTTGAAGGGAATTTCAAATTAAATTTGACCCAACCTTCACAGTGAATGCAAGCGTATTTTAACCAATGATGGTCCCCAGCCTCTTCTCCACTCAAGTGCACTTCTGCAAGTCAATTATAACTATGAGATAATCAAATAGTACAGTTAGTCCTAGGTTCTTGTGGGTTTTTTCGGGCTATAGGGCCATATTCTAGAGGCATTTCTCCTGACGTTTCGCCTGCATCTATGGCAAGCATCCTCGGAGGTAGTGAGGACCTCAATACCTCTGAGGATGCTTGCCATAGATACAGGCGAAACGTCAGGAGAAATGCCTCTAGAACATGGCCCTATAGCCCGAAAAAACCCACAAGAACCTAGTGATTCCAGCCATGAAAGCCTTCGACAATACACAGTTAGTCCTCTTTGTCCACAGATTCATCCATGCACAGGTAGGTAGATAGAAATAGATAATCCAAAAGGCAAGCCCTAATTTGACAATTTTATGGGACACCATTTTGCTGTAAACCACTGTATAATGGAACTTGAGCATCCACAGATTTTGATATCCACGAAGGGTCCTGGAATCAAACTCCAGCAGATAACAAGGGTAAAGTGTATATAGTCAATCTACAACTCAACCATACATACTTATTGAAGCTCTTAGGCAATAATGTTCATGCATCTTAGAGTGAGTTCTTCATCCATGAAAGTTCATGCTTCAGTGTGTCTGTTGGTCTTCTTCTCTTGGTCTGCTTGCAATTAAAAGTTTCTGCTTTCAACCCAGTACCCGCTTGTTATAGGATGTGTTACAGAATACAGAAAATGTTTAGGAATTACAGTTCTGGTTGTTCTGAGATCCAGATCAAAGAACTGGTGTTTCTACTCTTAACTATTCAGGGGCAGAGTGTGTGGATGGTGTTAGGCCTTGTAGGCATGGGAAAGCAAGTTGTGTGTCTGGAAGTATTTATTTTTTGATTGAGGTAATTACTTCAGATTGTGAAATGAGCCTTTTCTCTGCCTAACTCAGGGCTACCAAAAGCAGCTATCATCACCCACCGAAAAGCATTATCAGCAGCTATTCTATTCAGCCTGTGTGGGGCCCATTCAAATGATGTCGTCTACATTCCACTCCCATTGTACCATGCAGCTGCGTTGACTGGGATTGCATCATGCATCGACATTGGTATGTATAGGATGTCTATGGGGGCTGACTGTACTGTAGGGGTGTGATAGGCAAGAATGGATGATGTATGAAACTGTTATGCATATGAAGGAGTATAGTGTAAAAATATGTGGAAGGCATCAGGGGATGTCCAAGCCATTTTACTTACAGCACATGCTCAGAGACATCTACCATCAAAGTCCTCCATAAGCTACATTTCTTGAGAAATAAGAGTATGTATACAAGGAAAATAACCAGCCTTTCTCCCCTGGCAGCTAAATTATCTGCTCCCTCAACAGAGACTAGCTACAAGGGTCTACGTGAACTAAAAAACCCCCTCAAAACTTTAACTCGCCTTGTAGCTTTTGTACTACGCAATGTTTTTGAATGTTTTGACTATTCCTTTAGAATCCAGTTCTTTGGGCTTTAATCTGGTTCAAAAACCTTGCCGTTTACCCCATCGTTTCCCAGAAAATCTAGATTTTTGGGCATGTGGACAATACTCCATTATTGTGGAGTTGAGGGACAAATTAGTCCTGGGTAGGACAGGTTGATTGGAGTCCAGGATTATTCCCATCAGGAAATTATTCTTTCCCAGTTTTACATTTTTAATGTTGTTTAAGAAAATATGTGCACATAATTGTATATCAACATATCAGTATGAGTGTACCCATGCTTAAAGGAAATATGTATATTTGTGTGCATGATGGCAGGAGAAACGGAGTGGTTATTGCAGAGAATTATTATTATTATTATTATTACTTTATTTGTACCCCGCTAGCATCTCCCGAAGGACTCGATGCGGCTTACATAGGCCAAGGCCTCAAAACACCATACAACAATACAATACCTAAAGCAAATTAAAAACAGTTAAGCAGTATAACAACAAACATAAACAATACATCAAGACACTATAAAACTGGGCTGGGCCAGAGTGATGGGTACAAGATTAAAAGTGCTGATGTGGCAGGAGGTATGTAGGATTATAAAATAAGTGCAATGTGCGGTGTGCAGCAATCTTAGTTATACTAAAGTGCTTCTAGGACTTGGTATTGGAGATTCCTAATCTGAGAAGGCACATCGGAACAGCCAGGTCTTCAAGTTCTTTCTGAAGACTGCCAGTGTAGGGGCCTGTCTAAGATCTTTTGGGAGGGCGTTCCAGAGTTGAGGGGGGGGCACCACAGAAAAGGCTCTGTCTCGAGTCCCCACCAAACGTGCTTGTGACGCAGGCGGGATCACAAGCAGGGCCTCTCCAGATGACCAAAGTGAACGTGTGGGTTCGTAGACGGAGATGCGGTCACGCAGGTAGGGTGGTCCCAAACCACCCTACCTGTAGATTGTTGACCAGCTTCTTACACTAAATTTACCTGGGGAAAATATGTGGTTGATTACGCTGATCTTGGCACCAAAAGGGACCCATTCCTCTTTTCTGAGTAGAGTGATGGAAAGGAAGAACCTAAAAGAAGCATCAATTCCTTTTACTATCTCTGCTGTGGTGCCATTTCTGAGCCCTTTGAATGCCTGATTGGAAAAATGACAAAGGCAGTTGGGACAACTCCCCCCTGAGGCACAACTGGTATTTTCCTCTCCATTAAATGACTTGACTTTTCCCTAGGTTATATCAAAATACATAATTTTGACCACAAAACTGGCCCTCGACTTATACATGAAGTCGACTTATACATAAGTATATGTGGTACCTTTAGTTGCTAAATGTAACCACATATATCTGCCTGCTGGAGCCCCCAAATTAAACATTTACCAGCCTTACTAATCATTGATCTTTCCATGGCTAAGATTAAACTAAATAAATAAATAGTTAAACAGACAAATAGACAGAAGTTGTACAAGGTCACATTGTTTGCAGATAAAACAGATTCGCTGGTCACACCGCCCCGAGTCGCCTTCGGGCTGAGAGGGGCGGTCAATAAATGCAAATAATAAATAAATAAATAAATAATAATAAATATCATTGAGCCAAAGGAAACCTCCACCCTCTGTGCAATGTTGTATTTTGAAGCTGCAAGCTGATAATCTACTTGCCTGAGAATATGCAGATATAATAAGTTTCGAGTACAACAGGGCTCTATACAGATAAAATTAATACATCTTACTGATTTCCCATAGTGCTGAAAACAACTACAACCAATAAATAGGAGACAACTGTCCAAAAAGTAGGCTCTGTACACAGTTCTATCTTTTGCATTGGTAAAGGTTTTCCCCTGACATTAAGTCTAGTTGTGTCCAAGTCTGGGGAGTGGTGTTCATSTCCATTGAAGGCTCTTCATTGAAGTTGAAGAGCCGGCGTTGTCCATAGATGCCTCCAAGGCCAGCATGACTGCCTAGAGCATTGTTAYCTTCCCGCCAGAGYGGTACTTATTGATCTACTCACATTTGCATGTTTTTGAACTGCTAGGTTGGCAGAAACTGGGCCTAAYAGCAGGAGCTCACCCTGCTCCCTGGATTGGAACYGTCAACCTTTCGGTCAGCAAGTTCAGCAGCTTAGAAGTTTAACCTGCTGTGCCACCAGGGGGCCCTAGAAGTGCCTAAATATTGATCAGAGACAGTTGATAGAGCATTGTAATAATTTCATGTGCATTGCATTTAGAAAACAGCATCCTTCTTTACTTGACTCATAAATACCCTCTCTGTCTTTTCTACAAGGAGCTACATGTGTCCTGACACCTAAATTTTCTGTTACAAAGTACTGGGATGACTGCAGAAAATACCGTGCCACTGTAGTCCAGTATGTAGGAGAAATTATGCGCTATGTGTGCAATGCGCCAAAGGTAATCAATGAGATAGGTCAAGTATTTTGGAATAATGTCTTGTGAAGAATGAAACTGGATTGTCCTACAGAATCTCACACTTGAGTTCATGGAACACATGTAAGAGCAAAGTCAGTGTGATCCTATGGAATCTCTGTTCGGAATATTGTTGGGAACTTATACTTGTGTAACCAAGTTAGTCTAGCAGTTGAACTTCTTCGTGGCTTGTGTAAACCATGAATGCTTCCTCTCCCAAGTAAGATCTCTTTGTGAAGATTGGGAAACAGTATGTGCTATTCCAGCAAATATCAGTTATGGTATTGCTAGCACAGCTCAACTTCCTCACCAACACCTTCCAAAGAATTATACCAGTCTAGTGTTCTCAAATGGATTGTGAGCATAGCCCTAGATTCAAACATTACCATTAAAGTCATTCATGTTTATATATTCCCTTCTCCCCTCCCATTCGTCTTCATGAAAACTTATTCATATGGACTCTGGGTTTCTGTGCTGTCTAAAGATAGGAGATCTAGTTCCATTACTGGTAGGTAAAGGTAAAGGTTGTCCCCTGACATTAAGTCCAGTCATGTCTGACTCTGGGGTGTGGTGCTCATCTCCATTTCTAAGCCGAAGAGCCAGCGTTGTCCATAGACACCTCCAAGGTCATGTGGCCAGCATGACTGCATGGAGCGCCGTTACCTTCCCGCCGGAGCGGTACCTATTGATCTACTCACATTTGCATGTTTTCGAACTGCTAGGTTGGCAGAAGCTAGGCCTGAAAGCGGAAGCTCACACCGCTCCCTGGAATCGAACCTGCAACCTTTTGGTCAACAAGCTCAGCAGCTCAGTCATTGAAATTATGGTGTCTCCCTAAAGATTTGCAAGAACACCTCAAGCGAAGCCCTTGGGAAGCTGTCACTTTGAGGCATTTATATTGGGAGTTATTTCTGTCCTACTAGGATGCCCAGAAAAAGCTCATTCCAGTGAATAAAGGGAAGGGGGAGGGAAAGAAAGAGTGGGTCATTGTTGATGCAGCACATGTTGACCACCATGTTTTTGTACTCAGACTCTCAGGTTCGCTGCCTGGCTTTCTGAAGTAACTATTACTTTAACTATTCTATCTAGTCCAAATAATTATTCTTTTGACTTGTTGCCTTGCAGAAAGACAACGACAGCGACCACAGTGTCCGGCTAGCAATAGGTAACGGCATGCGAATGGAAGTCTGGAAGGAATTCCTGGACCGCTTTGGACCCATACGTATCTATGAGATGTATGGAGCTACTGAGGGGAATGCTGGGTTCGTTAACTACACTGGGAAAGTTGGAGCTGTGGGGAGAACCAACTTTTTAATCAAGGTAATAAGATCACACTAAAAGGTTTCAGGATTTCCATAAGGTGCTAAAGCTTTGATTAAAGAAGGAGTGGAAAATGTTTTGTTCTACACACTGATCGTTGCATTGGTTATGGGAAAACATGATAAGAAGATTGTTTCTGTATTTACAGCTTAAATATATCCTGATTTTGGGAAGGATCCAGTTTTATGCAGGGTTGATTACCCAGGCATTATGTCAGTTATAAAGTGACCATTTCATAGGTCGCAGGTTCAAATCCAGGGGGAGTGCGGATTAGCTCCAGCTCTTCATGTGGGGACATGAGAGAAGCCTCCCACAAGGATGGTAACACATCAAAACTTCCGGGCGTCCCCTGGGCAACGTCCTTGCAGACGGCCAATTCTCTCACACCAGAAGTGACTTGCAGTTTCTCAAGTCACTCCTGACATCATAATAATAATAATAATAATAATAATAATAATAATAATCACAAGTCGAACACTTCCCAAGCTTGTCTAAGACTGTGTGATGTATTTTCAAATGATGCGTGCAGATCCAAGTAAGGTGGCCTTCTGATTTTGTGATATGAAATCCAGCATATATGTGCCATCGCACCTGGGGGCTATAACTCTTAATGAAAGAGGTATGGACATGACATCTTTTCCCCAGGGGATTGCTTCTTGCCCTCCTTTAGGAAACTGGAACTCTCAAAGACCCAAACACTGTAGATAACTCAAAATAAGTTTTATTGTTCACAAAGACTTATCTCTTTAAGGCAATAAGCTGGAAGTTTCAAAGGGGTGAAGGAAAATATACATCATAGTCTCCGTTTGTCTTGGGACCAAAGAGTTTGCAGCTGAGAAGCTTTTCCAAGTTTCCTCTTTCGTCAATGGCTGTTAATATCGGAATAATCACAACCCCAATTCCAATGGCCTATATCTGAAGGGACAAGGCCTTCCTCTGGTGCCAAAGGAACTGGTTTGAAGGCACTTGAGACTTCCCAACGTCATTCAGGTTGATCTGAACATGAAGCATAAGTCTCAAGGGTAAAAACCTCAGAATTGGTGCTGAGAGGTAACTTAATCAAGGGCTTTTAGAGCCAAGTCTCTCTCTCACATCTGTCTCATAGAAAGTTTGATGGTGGAATGAAAAAGGAAACACTGTGCTGCTTCAGGAAGAGGTGGAGCCAAACAATTGAGCTGAGGAAGCAATATAACTTGTGCAAACAACATTGATTGACAGCTATAAATAACCAATCAATCCAACTATACATTTACAGGGTAAAAAGGCAAAATCAGGCATGATAGAACACTTTAAATCTTGCAACTTACAGTTCTACATATAGGTGGCGCCACTTGCACCGGCACAATATATATCTCATTTGCTGTGACATACTGTGTTTCTTGTGTCAGTAAAATAATAATAATAATAATAATAATAATAATAATAATAATAATAATAATAGCAAGGCTGTATTCCACAGCCAATGAGTAGACCCTTGTGCCCATGACAAAGCCATTTTATGATTCTCCATAGACCTTGGATAGGAATCCACTCTACTCCATCTAGCTAAAAGCAAGTTGTTCTGCTGCTGTCGTATGGCATCAAGTCATTTCTAATGACCTCATCACAATAGAGAATGAATCCACTTTAAATCTGGTTGCTGCTTCCTGCAGAATTCTGGGGTTTGTAGTTTAGGGAGGAGCCTTTAACAGCATCACTAAACTACAACCCCAAAATTTCTGCAGGAGGCAGAAATCGGATTTAAAATAGATTCATTCTCTCGTGTGATGAAGTTGTTATAGAGTGGTTATGGGGTGTTCTTGGCAAGATTTGTTCAGAAAGGGTTTGCCTTTATCTTCCTCTGAGACTGAAAGAGTTTGGCTTTTCCAAAATCACAAAGTTGCTTTTCATGGTTGATTTGAATACTGTTCTCCAGAGGTTTAGTCTAATGCTTAAGCCACTTCACTCTCACTGGCTCACCAAGAAGAACGTTGCTAGTTCCAACATTTCTAACCCTGTCTCTTTAAGTAAATCTGAGAAATAATTACTTACTTCACCTGAATCTGGGAATAGCCCCTTTAACTAAGGTTCTGTCTTATTTCCAAACAAGAAAATATGTTCTATCTGTGTGAATCTAGCTTAATGACAAACTGTAAGAAAATGTGGTCAGTATTTAATGCATAACATATATTAATATAAAGCCACAAACATTTAATAGACACACACAGCATACAGAATGTATAAAATATTTACAAATGGTTGCAATCCAAGTAAAACTACAATTTTAAACTATAGGAATTAATAATAACTCATGGTAACATAATTCTACTTATCATGTATCGTGCATCTATTTAGACCTCATGGGGTTATGTTGCCATTTCTTATCTGTTCTGTTTCAGAAACTGATAAAGTTTGAATTTATTCAGTATGACGTTGAGAAAGATGAGCCTATGAGGGACAAGAAAGGATATTGCATCCCAGTGGCTATAGGTAAGCTAATAAAACAAGCGCTTGAACTCAGACTGGGATAGGGGTGTGTAGTCCATAAAAGCTTATGCTGAATTGCACTGGTTCTATTTGAGGTCACACAAGACTCCTTTTTGCATTGAAAAAGATTTAACTAGCTGTCTCAAAATTATGGAAAGAGAGTATGGGAATTTCTGAAGTACTTTTCATGGCAGATGCAAATGTATCTGAGGAGAATGATAGTGAAGGTTGACTTCAAGAACAATTATTGATGCATTAATGGAAGGCAGCCTAATGCCTGGTTCTGTGGGGAAATAGGTCTTTGCAAATTCTATTGGATTCTCTTTTCCTTTCAAGGTGAAACTGGTTTAATGGTGACCAAGATCACTGAGAATGCCCCATTTGAAGGCTATGCGGGAGACGTGCAAAAGACAGAAAAGAAAATGCTTCGGGATGTCCTGAAGAAAGGAGACTGCTACTTTAATAGTGGTGATCTTCTGATGCAAGACCACGAAGGCTTTATATATTTCCAGGACCGGGTAGGAGATACCTTCCGGTGAGTCTCAACGCCTACTCCATAATATGAGTAGGTTCTTCTGCCTTCTTGTTGAGAAGATGGTGCTGGGGAGGTGTCTACTACATCCTTGGGTCTTGTTGGCATCATCATGCCTATGATGCATGCACCATTGGGTCATGGACCAAGTAAGGGAACATCACATACAAACCAGCAGGATGAAGCACCCGATTCCCCTCACACCAAGAGCCTTCTACAGCATAAAGCAATTATGTGCATTTTCACATGGAACTAAATCCCACTGTGGACATCTGGCTTGACTCCCATGCAAAATCTAGGTGGCATATGCACAGACATAAAAAAGGGGATGGGTGGGAAGCTATGAATTAGGAAAACTTTGGTTTGATTCCCAGAAGGACTTGGGGAATGGCATCAGGAATCAACACCATCATGCCTTTGATGAGATCTGATCTTTCATTGTACTAAAAGAGTGAATGTAGCATAGAAGTTTCAGATACTTTATTTATTTATTTATTTATTTATTTACGATATTTCTATCGTAAGGTGACCCAATGCGGCTTACAACCAGGCAGCAATTTGATGCCTAACAATATACAATTAACAGAAATAAAAACACATCCAATTACATCTAAAACCAATGCCCTCATTGTTAGTCTCATTATCCATAAATTGTCATCTGATCCGTTCCAATGTTCACTTTCGCCTAATACCATGTTTGCCTGTTGCATTTGATTCCAAAGACTTGTTCAAAAAGTTTTTACTTTTTTTCAGAAGGTCAAGAGGGAGGGGGCTGATCTAATATCCCTGGGGAGGGGGTTCCACAACTGAGGGGCCACCACTGAGAAGGCCCTGTCTCTTGTCCCCACCAGTTGTGCCTGCGAAGAAGGCAGGACTGAGAACAGGGCCTTCCTAGATGATATTAAACTCTTAGATGGTTCATAGGGAGAGATACGTTTGGACAGGTAAGCTGGACCAGAACCATTTAGAGCTTTATAGGCTAAAGCCAGCACTTTGAATTGTGCCCAATAGCAAACTGGCAGCCAGTGGAGTTGGTGTAACAGAGGGTTTGTAAGCTCCCTGAACGCTGCTTCAGTGAGCAATTTGGCTGCCTCCTGTTGGACCATTTGAAGCTTCCAAACATAGAGTGTGTTGCAGTAGTCAATACGGGATGTAACCAGAGCATGGACTACCATGGCCAAGCCAGATTTCCTTAGGTATGGGCGCAGCTGCCGCACAAGTTTTAATTGTGCAAATGCTCCCCCGGCCACTGCGGAGACCTGGTGTTCCAGACTCAGTGAAGAGTCTAGAACACCCAAGTTGTGAGTTTCAAGTCTTGGGAGTTCCAAGTTCTAGCTAGTGATCAGCCATGAAACCCATTCATGGATAAGTCAGTAGGGAGCCATATGTGCCATTCTAATAGAATTAGAAAAAAGGGTGGAATGTGGCTGATCTGGACAGCTAGACAAACTATTAAGAAAACCATTCTTGAATTTCTACTAAATCCATTAATATTAACCCACCCTTCTCATTGCAGCTGGAAAGGGGAGAACGTGGCCACTACAGAGGTTGAAGCGACCTTGGTAGAAGTCGACTTTATTCAGGAAGTTAATGTATATGGGGTACCAGTGCCAGGTGGGTTTGAAATGTAATTAAATGCACCATAGTGATATTATGTCTCGTATCAAATAATGTGGCATTATGGTGTGCAGAAGACCAGAACTAGAACATATGATCTTATCTCCATATGTTCTTTCAGCATATGAGATCATTCGAACTTCTCCTTACTTCTTCTAACCTTCTAACATCACTGACCATTTCACAATTCAGAATGCCTTTGCCTCTCTAAATTGGCTGTGGAATCTCAAAGGAAGGAGAAAAGGAATTGGTGAAGAGGTATACTCAAGAGACACAACTGGATGAAGTTTATGGCCTTGTTACTCCAGCATTGCAAATCTTCCACTCTTAAAATTGCTCAAACGTTCAATCAAGGCAGAATTTACTTTCTCACTCATTACACAAGTCCACACTCAATGCCTACTACCTTTTGCCATATAAACATTATGGTTGTGTGTTGGCCATCACTGCCCTAGTAGCAGCTAAAAGTGAGAGTTGCTTGTAACATGCAGCTCTTTCCCTTAACCATATGTTTCTTATTTTTTTCAGGGCATGAAGGAAAGATTGGGATGGCTGCCGTACGGCTCAAAGAAGGACATTGCTTTGATGGAAAGAAGCTATATCTCAATTCCAAAGATTATTTACCTAATTATGCCATACCTCGATTCATTCGTATCCAGGTGCAATAGCTTTCTGTTGCTATACTCCCTAATGTGGATTTGTAACTGTGCAACTAGTAAATAAATAACAATAGGATAGGCAGACCAGGAATTGTAGATCTCTGAGAGGGTGATGTGATTGGGGAGGTCTATCAATAGCATTAACATGAAAACTCAAGTAATGGGAAATTGGAGATCTTTGGTAGAATAATTAAAGAAGAGGTGGGCAACTTCCTAGTGGACAACTTCCTTCTACCAAGGACTCCCAATTCCATTGAGGATTCTGCAGTTGCTTTTGCTGCTTCTACTACTGTTGAAATTTGGTGGTACAAATGGAATAGCCCTTATCTGAATTTCAGAAATCAAAATTCTCCAAAATCCAAAATTCTACATATGGGCAGCTGAGATAGTGACCTTTGCTTTCTGATAGTCCACTGTATACCAACTTTGTTTTATGCACAAAATTATTGAAAGTATTGCATATAAAATTGTCTTCAGGTTGTGTGTATAAGGTGTATATGGTACGTAAATGGATTTCATGCATACACTTGGCTCTCATCTCCAAGACATCTCTTTATGTGCTGTATATGCAAACATTTTGGCTAAGGAATGATCAATGTGTAGCTGCCAAGTTTCATTCCAATTGTGGTTCAAGATTATAGGAGCATGACAGGACATTCACCATCCTACTTCGATACTTATCTTACTGCTCTGTCTGTTGTTCTTGGCTTGCTGTAGCTCTGATGTGATTGAATTGACTCGGGCACATTTCTTGTGTTTCTTGCAGGACTCTCTGGAGATCACAGAGACATTTAAACAACGCAAAGGTCAATTGGTGAAGGAAGGATTTGACCCCATCATCATCAATGACCCCCTGTACTTCTTAGATGATTCAGAAAGATGTTATGTGCCCATGACTCAGGAGATTTTCACCTCCATCACAGAGAAGAAACTGAAGTTGTGAAAAGAACTCTTGTCAGGCAGTGGTCTCCATGTTCCAAATGAGACAGGGAAGCTAGGAAGAACTGTGACCTCTTGGTTTCTGCCCAATTTTGATACTGAAATATAGTTTGGAGTGGGTCATATAAATGTAAGTTGACTTTTTTTGGATCCATGTGAGATACTTGATGTGGCATAAAACACATGAGAAGCAGTAAAATGCAGTAAAAATCTTTTTTTTAAATGCCCTTGGTAAAAAATTATATTGGAATATTTTCTCCATGTTTACATGCAAGAATGATAAAGCTGCCCCTCCCCCTGGATAAAGATTGAGAGCATTTTGTTCCCTTTTATCTTCTAATTTGCATTTTAGATTTTTTTAAACAGAAATTTTATGAAAAGGATTTTTTCTTACACATAAATGCTATTTTTCTGGACAAAATAAAATTTTGTGCAAAATGGAGTGACTTGTTCACAAACTTCAGCCTGCTTTTGCTAGCAGGACAAAGGTGTAGGTTTGACAAATCTGAGGAATATTTAATTATTTTAAACCTTTCCCATATTGTTTTCCCTGATGGATCAAGGACCAACTTAGGGCAGTAGTTAGAGTGTTCAATGATGAAAAGTTAATGTTTAGATAATAATACTGTACCCAGTTTTTCAAGCTCTGGCTATGGCTAGCTCTACACTATTTCATCACACAAGCTTTTTCACCCGTCGTAGGGTGCATCCAGCACAGTTTGGGGATGGAACCCACCATACCAAATCATACTATAGCCTATCAAATGACGTACAGCTACTTCTGTCAGGGCTCCATCCCTTAACTGAGCTGAATGCATCCTAAGAGGCAAGGAGAATATGGGAGGCTTCTTGTGTTCTTGTTGTCAATAATGGGGCAAGCACAGGGGGAAACCAGACAGTGACGTTTTCCCTCATGTGGTGGGGAAAGCAGCACTGCGAGGTATGGGATGACTGATTACCCCCACTGTTGCCCACATTAGTGACTTCATGTGATGAGGTCCTTAAAGCAATTTGACACCAATTTAACTATGATGGCTCAATGCTATGGGATCCTGGAGTATGTAGTTTGGTGAGGCATCAGCACTCTTTGGCAGGGAAAGCTAAAGATCTTACAAAACTATAACTTTGATGATTCTATAGCATTGAGCCATACATAGCAGAAGATGAGAGAAACCACCAATTTTTTATTACTTATTTTTAAGGCCATGGATTTGAGTATTCTGCCATACAGCTGAAGAAAGACACTAAGCAAAGGGAGTGAACTTCACCTCCAAAATAACAACCACCGATTACATTTAAGCACATTTAATAACAAATTTAATAGTACAGACTGTATTAAAATTTACTCTTGCTGATTGACAGGTAACGCATGGGATTTGATTACTAAGCTAGCATTAGAGGGAAAATGACATTTGGGGTTTGAGTATATGCTTCAGACCTTCCTTCATCTCTTTATTCCGCAGAGAAAAGATGATTGGGTTCAGTGCTGGGGTCACAACATTATAGAGCACAGATGCCAAGGTGTCTATCATTACCGAATGCCAAGAGCTGGGTCGGTTATAATTGAACATGCAGGTGCTGTAGAAGATGGTGACAACTATCAGGTGCGAGGAACAAGTAGAAAATGCTTTATGGCGGCCCTGGGTGGTGTGGATCCTCAGGATTGCCCCCACAATGTGGATGTAGAAAGCCATAATGCATAGAAAAGGACTGACACCAAGCAGCAAGGTGACTACCAACAATGTGATTTGGTTCAAGAACGTGTCCTGGCAAGACAGTTTGAGAAGCTGTGGAATGTCACAGAATACATTTTCAATTTCATGAGAAGCACAGAAGGGCAGCTGAGCAGTCATGGTGGTGTGTAGCATGGCATTGAGGAAGCCACAGGCCCAGGAGGTTGCCACCAACCCTGTGCACAGCTTCTTGTTCATGAAGAGAACATATGTAAGAGGGTGGCAGATAGCAACATAGCGGTCGTATGCCATTACAGCCAAAAGGAGACACTCAACGCCCAGAAAAGCCACTAGGAAGTAAAGCTGGATTAGACAGCTCTGAATAGATATTGTCTTTATCTCAGTCACTAGATTCTTTAGCATGTGGGGCAGCGTGACTGAAGTGTAGCAGATATCCAGGAAAGACAAGTGTCGGATGAAGTAGTACATGGGTGAGTGCAGCCCAGAATCCAGCCATGCCGTGGTCAAGATAAGCCCATTGCCAAGCAAAGCAGTGAGATATACAGTGAAAAATATGAGAAAGAACACGAGGTGGGGCTCAGGGAAGCTGGAGAAACCTAGGAAGACAAATTCAGGACTCACAGTTTGATTTTGGACCAGCTCCATGTCTTATATCTGAATTGGGAAAGAGGTTTAAAGAAGGAAAAACAGAGGAATGGTGCACAAAATTACATCATAATTAGGCATAAGTCCTTGTAATCATTTGCCTCCCACCTCATTTCGTATAAATTTCCTGTTTAATGTGATTTGATGACAAGATCCCTTCTCATCTCCAACATATGCTTGAATGACACAGTTGTCTCTAATTTCCAACAAATACACCACATACATTGTAGGACCTAAGACAGGACACAGTTTAGCTTTGCCGTACAACTCTTGAGTCCCATGGCTCCAACTTCTGTGATTTGTAGGTTTGTGAAGTCCTTAGAATTCCACATTAGAGAGTCTTAATATGGGATTCTATGTTCTTCCATATTAGTATTTCAGCAATACAGACTACAACTTCTGTGGTACCTCAACTAAATTTCAGGCTTTCATAAGATGAAGCCATGGAACTTCAAGATTATGTACCCGTGCACCTCGAATCCATCACAATTGAATTATATTTGCATATTTTACTTCTGGTAATTGAGCTACTCAGACAAATACTAAAACTGGGACAACTAAATAAAAAATCAGGCATCTTGTACTTCTAATAGTTGTGTGGACAAGATAAAGTTTGAACAGTAGGTTAAGCTTTAATGACAAATTACAAAAGTTAGAATCCCCTCCTCTGTGCAACTATCGCAAACACAGGAATGCTGTCCTTCAAAAACAACAATTAAGCAACCAACTTATTTAGGAGGATGAGGGCACTTCTCTGGAAATGCTTTACATAAGGAGGCACTGAATAGTCATTTTCTAGGAATAGTGCACTTGCGATTTGTAATGCCGATCTTCCATTGGCCTGGGCACTAGGCAGGATGGTTAAGACATATTCCAAATGTATATTTCCATGCACAAAATTATGCTTTTAACTAGTGGTTCCCAACCTGTGGTCCATGGACCACTAGTGATCTGCAAGAACTAAAATATGATCAGCAGCCTCACCATTACTACACCGTTGCAATGAGAGTGATTGGTATCGTAAAACCCTCTTATAGTGCTGAGGCTTATTAAATATAATTTTCCGTGGGCGAGCAGATGGCAATTACTGGATGGCATATGTTCTGTATCAGAAACTAAAGCTGATGTTGTCTATCCAATGCAATTTTCTGAATCAGCACCCCAACTAACCAAACCGAATCTAAAGTTGACCAACAACTGATTTGTAACCCTTTGGTACTAGTAATGGAGAATGGCTCCTGGTCAGAGTGGTCCCTGGTCAAAAAAATGCTGAGAACCACATCTCTAAACTGTACATGGGTAGTCCAGCTGAGAATTTATTTAGTTAAGCTGCATCTATACTATACCACTCCAATATGCTAGACTAGCTTATCTGGGGACAACAAACTGAAGTGGGACAATAAGAGAAGAAAGGAGGGATTGGATACACGATGAGCATCCCTTATCTGGAATTCTGAGATCCAAAATGCTCCATAATCCAAAATTGCCTATATAGTTGCTACAATATTGTTTGCTATCTGATGGGAAAACAAACATGCAATGTAAACCAACTTCATTGCATGCATGACATTATTAAAAAATATTATGTATGACATTACCTTCGGATGGTATATAAGGGTAAATGAAACATGGATTTAATTATGTGCAAAATATGGGACCCATCGCCAATATATCTGATCATGTGCATGCATACAAACACAGGAATTACAATATCTAAAAGCGATCAATACTTCTGAAATCCAAAACATTTCTGATCCCAAGTATTTTGGAGAAATGTTCCTGTAAAATTTAATATCAAATCCTAGATAGATGAATTATGCATATAAAATATATTTACCAGCAAATCTCATAGCATTGAAGATATCTTTTCATATTTTCGTCAGAATATGCCAATTGTACTAAAATAAGACATCCCGTTAATATTTCAGCTTTGTTTATAAGATACATTAAAAAAAAACATTGTGCCTTAGGGGATGATATAAAAGTATCCTATGCCACTGGGACTAATTCACAGGAGGAAGAGTTATCTTTGAGATTTTCCAACCCAATGTAAACACAAGTAATTTTATCTTTGGAGTCCATGTTTCTTGATTGGACCCAGAAGACATCTAGATTGGTCCTACACATACTTTTCTTCAAGAGAATGAAGTACCTGGACCAATGTGGATAACAGCTAGGCAGCACGGTCTCTTCCAAATGCTTTCGAAATTCTAATAATTATCATTTTAGGTGAATTTCAGCCCCATCTTCTGGTTTATACAGAATCTAAATCTTGTGGGGGGGGGCACACAGAAGGAAGGACAAAGCTAACTAATAAAATATAAAGCCAATGGTACATATATTGAAAAAAATGCAGAGACTTGATCAAGTCTACTTTCAGGTCAAGACACAACTAGTTGGGTCAGTTCTTCATGGTATATATCACAAATTTTAATATCTCAAATTAATTTATGGTTCTTTAGAATGGACCTCTCAAGAGTCACACATTTATCTCTGAGGCCCCATCTACACTGCCACATAATGCAGTTTAACTGCACGGAATTTAACTGTACTGCCATATAATGCAATTGAATAAAGTTAAATTGTATTGTGAAACTGCATTATATGGCAGAGTAGATGGGGCCTGGATGTCACAGGCTCCTTATGAGAGAAGGATTTGTGGGAAAGATCCATATGTTGTCCCTGTTTGGTTGCTTACTTTGGATCAGTAAAAATCTGATGTTTTTAATGGCTTGCTTTGAGATAGCACTAATATTTGCACAAAGATACTTGCCCACACTCTTGGTGGAGATATTTCCTGCAATATATATTGCTTTCCTCAGTTTTTCTTGGACCTGCCCATGGTGCCTCTTCTGGCTATTCCATTGGATACCCACTACCAGTAATGAATGTGGATGGGTGGACTTCATTTGCACCTATTTACAGATTGTGTCAGTAAATTAACAGAGAGAAACTTTTTAGGGTATGAAACAAAATCTAGTTTATTTGAACTTTATCTAATTCATCCTCTATGACAGTGGTTCTCAACCTGTGGGTCCCCAGGTGTTTTGGCCTACAACTCCCAGAAATCCCAGCCAGTTTACTAGCTGTTAGGATTTCTGGGAGTTGAAGGCCAAAACATCCAGGGACCCACAGGTTGAGAACCACTGCTCTATGAAGATCAATGCAGGATCCGTGGTTCTTCAATGCCCTCACCAACAGACCATTTCTGATAGCACCAGTGTAGACGTCAGGCAAGACTTTGGCCCCATCTAAACTGCAATTTCATGATGGAGTTCAATTCATTTAAACTGCATTTTCAAACTACATTATATAGCAGTGTAGATGGGGGTCTTTGTTTCTCTTCTCTATTGAAATAACATAGATATTCAGGAGTTCTTTTTATATGCACCCAGCAATAGTATTATTTGGCAGAAACTTTTAGGACAGTCCCCAGTGACAATGTAATTTTTTGTGACTATAAAAAATTTACAGCTATGAGCCCCATTCTTTGATTTAAATTGGTCTTATGTTCTGTTATGTTGAACCTGGCAGTGAAGGTGGTGTCAAATCAGGTTGTGGCAGAGTTGGTTGGGAGTCAGCTGTATTAAAATCGCTACTGACCAAGAGGTCATGAGTTCCAAGCCAGCCCAGGTCGGAGTAAACTCCCGAGCATTTGTCTAGCTTGCCATCGATCTTTACAGTCCAAAAGACAGTTGCATCTGTCAAGTAGGAAATTTAGGTACCGATTATGCGGGAAGGCTAATTTAACTAATTTACGACACCATAAAACTCTCCAGCAGCATGCAAAAGAATAAGAAAGTACTCCATCGGTGTCACAAGTGGACGTTGAAGCAACAGCTCCCCCGGTTGCTGGAATTCAAAGTATACCCTCATGAAGCTGGAAAGTTAAATATAAATACTGTAAATAATTAAATAAATAAATAAACTTAATTAATTCTGCAGCGTAAATGAGCTCTTAGTAGTTCCATTGCTGCTGCAGAGACTACAGCACAAACCAAGGACTGAAATTTCAAGAAAGAGATTCAATCCAAGAACATTAGTAAGAAATGGTTAAGACCTGGCTTTATGAACAAGCGTTCGGCTAAGCAATGCAACCAATCAAGGAAGACGGTAAATGGAACATAGGAACGGCACAAGGACTATGAGAACGGATCTGATTTCAACTGAGGCGTTATATATGTTGTTTTGTTGATTTGTCTTGTCTGATTGTTAACTGTTGTGGATCTATGTGTTGATCCTGTTGTTGTATTATGTTTTAATTGCACTGTAAACCGCATTGAGTCGCCTGTTAAGGGCTGAAAAATGCGGTATAAAAATGAAGCAAATAAATAAATAAATAAATAAAATTGTTTATTTAAGAGCTGTTTAACAGTGGAATGACTACTGCAAAGATTGGTGGAAAGGAATTGCATAGGTGTGGTGTGGGAGAAAGAGAACTATATATTGTAATCTAGCCTAGAGAAGACAATTATGCTGGGGAACGTGGAAGGCAAAAGGAAGAGGGGCCGACCAAGGGCAAGATGGATGGATGGCATCCTTGAAGTGACTGGACTGACCTTGAGGGAGCTGGGGGTGGTAACGGCTGACAGGGAGCTCTGGCGTGGGCTGGTCCATGAGGTCACGAAGAGTCGGAGACGACTGAACGAATGAACAACAACAACACTTTATATAATTCATAACAGAGAAATACATCTTTATTTATTCCCTTCTCACAGAAGAGAATGAAACAATGTAAAAGTTTTGAGTTAGACTGATTTTAACTAATTTTAATGATTTTTTCACATGTTGCAAATTTGCAGGGGCATTTCACAATAAGAAAAAAAAAGTTTTGAACTGTATAGCATTTTCTGCACAAAAATTGCAACTTTTTGTATACAATGCAGATTTGGGAGAAAGCACCACCAAAATTAGGGCATGGAAAGAATGTTTTTAAAATGCTGTCCAATGTGCTACATCAGTTATCTAGGCTCTATCTACACTGTAGAATTAGTGCAGTTTGACACTGCTTTAATTCTTATGGCACTATGTTAGAAAATAATGGGAGCTATATTTTTACAAGGCCTTGCCTTCTCTGCCACACAGTGTTGATGCATCACCAAACTACAAATACCAAAATTCCATAGCAATGAACCATGGTAGTTAAAGTAATGAACACTGCACTAATTTACACAGTGTAGATGCAATCAAAGTAGAATTTCTTGGCTCAACCTCTTCCCTGACTTACTATACATCTACAACTGTAAGTGATGGAAGTCTGTTCTCCTGGCCTTTGGGGTATATTTTGATATTTCCATACTCAAAGTCTCTCGTCAAATAGTCAGGAATGGTATCCATCACAATTCCTACTCAATTGGGATCACATGTAGAATGTGTATGTAAATATAAGTCTGTTCTGATCCAATCAGTAAGGTAAAGGTAAAGGCTTCTGCTGACATTAAGTCTAGTTGTTTCTGACCCTGGGGGGTGGTTCTCGTCTCCATGTCTAAGCCAAAGAGCCGGCATTGTTCATAGACACCTTCAAGGTCATATGGCCAGCATGACGGCATGGAGTGCCATTACCTTCCTGCAGAAGCTGTACTTATTGATCTACTTACATTTGCATGCTTTCAAACTGCTAGGTTGGCAGACAGAGGGAGCTTACTCCACTCCCAGGATTCGAACTGCCAACCTTTCCGTCAGCAAGTTCAGCAGCTCAGCAGTTTAAACCACTGCGCAACCAGGGGCTCCAATCAATAGCACAATAAATTGTTACTTACAGTGGCTGCTGCCTGGAAAATCAGAACTGGGGATCCCACCAATGGCACTACTTTTAAGCTGTGGTGGGACTGTATGTATCTGCAAGACAATGTGCTGCTGGCAACATCTCCCATGTCAGACCAGTTTTATGGAGGAGTCAGACTAAATGTACTAAACAGCTACAGGCAACAATGATAGTAGGGAATGACATTAGGGCCAGATCTCTCATAGACAATGGCAGTGGCACGATAACTAACACTTGTTAGTACTGTGCAGAAGAAGGTACAGAAACCTCTTTGGAATGACTCGATGAGATATGCCGAGATAATCCAAAACGAAACAAGAGATCAAGCCAGAAGATTACTATGTGATCCTATGCCAACTCAGAAGTATATTCCCTGAACTTCAATTAGATTGACCCCAAACTAAGCAAGGTGTGTATTTCTTGAGAATGAGCGCCTATGAATCACAAGGACAGATTGTCAGGGGGATCTCTTTGTCCCAGACCTGGAAAAAGGGAAACACAACCTCGGAGAAAGGACAGTTGAAGGTGAAGAGATGCTCCATGGAGTCAGCATCAGAAAAGGAAAGAATGTCAAAATCATACTCCAGGTGTACCTTGATCCGTTTTGGAGATTTCCACAGTATTAGTTTGGTAGAAGGTGTGGTGGAAGCCACATATTCTCCCCCATTCAGGTTCAGCACCCAATAGCCTTCGGTAGCTGTGACATACGGCCGCCACTTTCTCTCTGCTGATTTCCGGACAATACCTATGGCCCATTCCTTGGCCTTGCCCACTTCCACCACCCATTCCACAGTCCCAGAATCAATTCCTTCTGCTCCCAGGACACATGGAGAAAAATTGAAGCGCTCAGGGTTATCAAGAAGAGACTGGGCATGGGTGCCCAAATGCACACTTTTCCGATCTTCAGAAAGGATGAGGGCAGGGTAGGCAGTCTTAGGATCCAACACAATCTCCACTGAAGATCGAAAACAGAGAGAAGATTAGTGTGATTCTTTCCAAAGTCATCAGGACATTAGGCTGAATCCAAACACAGTCAACCTGCTGAAATTAAGATATGACTAAGATAAATCTCATTTATTTCAATTGATCTACCAACAAGTATGACTAACTCTAGACCAAAAGATTTAGAAAAAACAAATCATGGTCAGTCCAAGTTAAAGACTGAGAGAGCTTTAATAGTACTTGTGCTATTCTCCACATTTCCCAGTGGTTTGCCATTCCCTAAAGTTCATTTGCTTGCAACTCACCTTTCTTTTGAGTCCCACAAAATCTGTCAACGAGATTCGCTTGCATTTTTTCGTCCTTCTTTCTTTTTTCCTCCTTGGTCAAAGGTTTTTTAACTTGATGAAAATCTATTAGAAAAAAACCAGTGATTTTTGTTTTAAAAAGCGGAGGCAATTTTGCTTCTTTTATTTCTATAATCAACACGAGATCAATTAGGATCACTTTTCTAAGTAGAATAACCAGGGTGCGATAATTATGGATGGTTGAATAATAATAATAATAATAATTATTATTATTATTATTATTATTATTTACAGTATTTATATTCCGTCTTTCTCATCCCGCAGGGGACTCAGGGCGGATTACAATGCACATATACATGGCAAACATTCAATGCCATTTAGACATATAACATATATAGACAGACACAGAAGCAATTTAACATTCAGCTTTTTCTGGCTTCATGAGTGTATGCTCGGTTTTGGCCACAGGGAGAGCTGCCGCTTCATCGTCCACTTGTGACATCGGGTCCTTTGATGGAGTACTTCCTCATTCTTCTGCACACTACTGGAAGGTTTTATGGCATTGTAAATTAGTTAAATTAGCCTCCCCGCATAAAGCGGTACCTAAATGTCCTACTTGACAGATGTAACTCTCTTTCGGGCTGCATAGGTCAACAGCAAGATAGACTATTAATGGTCAGGAGCTTACTCAGATTGGCTTCGAACTCATAGCCTCTCTGTCAGTAGTGATTTAATGCAGCTGGCTACTAACTAGCTGCGCCACAGCCCAGTCCATGTAAATTGGTTAATAAATCTTATATCACAGAGATGCCGTATGGCTCCAGATACTTCTTCTTAGGAAACTGAATTCTGTGAAAAAGCTGGAAACCCTAAAATCTCTTGCCTTTGTGAAATGTTGGGGATATGCCAAACAATATAAGTGGTGGATTTGGTCATGTAATCTGAATTTGAAATAGATGGGATGATCAATATACCAATCAAAGACCTGCATGACTTTCTCAAGCATATATAGCACAAGTCTCCAATCTATGGGAGGATACATTCTAAGACACACACGCACATGAACACCTGAAATCTGGATAAAAATAAATCTTACGTTTCGACTATACTTGGGCTGGAAGCACGCCATAGACTTGCACTGTAGGTTCTACAGAAGCCCAAAAACTCTCCCAAGGGGGAATATTTTTTAGAGCATGGATAAGTAAAACTGTGGATATCAAATTATTGGATAATAGGTTTGTACTACTGACCAGAACACTGAAAGAAAATTATAATTAATTATCATAGAAAGGGAATGCCCCTACAAATACTTGGGTTGTGGCATCTACACTGCCACGTAATATAATTTAACTGCACTGAACTGGATTATATGAGTCTATACTGCCATATAAAGCAGTTCAATGCAGTTAAACTGCATTCTGAAATTGCATTATTTGACAGTGTAGACGGGGCCTGAGTGCCAGCATTTCTTTCTGGTTTTTTTCCCCACTTACATAATGGCATCTCTTTTCTGACTTTTGCCGACAGATCCTTCCTGTTTATTCGGTCAAAGATGTTGGTGGCCACCTCAACTGCCTTGTCCTCATCAAATGTCGTGACCATGAGCCGTGACAGCTCAGTGGCATCTGCCTTCTCAGTCTTACTGCGCCGAATGGGTTTGAAGCCTTCCTCAACTGGATATTCTTCAAGGTGCATCTTAAATTTCTTCACTTCATCATCTCGCAGATCTTCGATATAGTGAAACAGTTTGCAGCGGACGCTGTCGGACATCTTGGCTCCCAGTTAGGATGTATCTGAGGAAAGAGGGGAAAAGATGTTATGAAGACCCCAAGAGAAGGAAAGCTGGAGAGCAGGAAGGTTGAAAGAAGGAGGAGGCTATTGACTGTCTGTGGTGAAAGGGCTTTAAAGGGGTTAGTGCTATATTTTTAACCGACTGTAATTTAAATATTCAATGGCCTTTGAATATTATATCTTCTTTAATTCTGGTTTTTACTTCACAACATCTTGATTTCTTTAAAAAAATATATATACGTTTTTGATGGTTTTGTGATCTGTCTTGAGCTTCAGGTCTGAGAGAAAGTGTTGGAGTTGTTGCACTCCAGAACAGGAAATAGCCTCTCTGACTAAAACACACCACACATTGAGTGAAGGAACAATCCTTTTTATTAAAGCTTAGCACAAAAAAAGCCAGTAGAAATAAATGCTTGTAACGATAGACAAGATTCCAAAAAGCAGTAAGACATTCAAAGGCAGCCAGATAAAACAGTGTCCAAAACGTAGCAATCAAAAGCAATGTCCAAAAAGCATGAGAATATAATCCAAAGCAATGATATCTATTTATTTATTTATTTATTTATTTACTGTCCTTGTATACCGCCGTTTCTCAGCCTAACTGGCGACTCAACGCGGTTTACAACAGAATATACAGTACACAGTATACAATTAAAACCGTAAAAAACATAATACACAATATTTCACATAAATCACAATCCAATACATCTCCTAACTAAAATCGTGGTCCAATTGCATCATCCATATTACCAATCCGTAGTCGACACATTCATTGCACCGAATTAACCAAATGCCTGCTTGAACATCCAAGTTTTTAGTCTTCTTCGGAATACCATCAGCGAGGAGGCTGATCTTACCTCCATGGGAAGGGCGTTCCAGAGCCGAGGGGCCACCACAGAAAAGGCCCTGTCTCTCGTCCCCGCCAGCCGCACCTGTGAAGCAGGCGGGATAGAGAGCAGGGCCTCCCCAGAAGATCTTAGGGTCCTGGTGGGCTGGTAGGCCGAGATACGTTCGGATAGAATAAGTTGGGCCAGAACCGTTTAGGGCTTTAAAGGCCAACGCCAGCACTTTGAATTGAGCCCGGTAGCAAATCGGCAGCCAGTGGAGCTGGTGCAGCAGAGGAGTTGTGCTCCCTGCGCTCCGCTCCTGTTAGTATCATGGCTGCCGACCGTTGGACTAATTGGAGCTTCCGAGCCGTCTTCAAAGGCAACCCCACGTAGAGAGCGTTGCAGTAGTCTAAACGGGATGTAACCAGAGCGTGGACTACCGTGGCCAAGTCAGACTTCCCAAGGTACGGGCGCAGTTGGCGCACGAGTTTTAACTGTGCGAATGCTCCCCTGGTCACCGCCGAAACCTGGGGTTCCAGGCTCAGCGATGAGTCCAGGATCACACCCAAACTGCTAACCTGCGTCTTCAGGGGGAGTGCGACCCCATCCAACACAGGCTGTAACCCTATACCCTGTTCGGCCTTGCGACTGACCAGGAGTACCTCTGTCTTGTCTGGATTCAATTTCAATTTGTTCGCCCCCATCCAGACCGTCACAGCGGCCAAGCACCGGTTCAGGACCTCGACAGCCTCCTTAGACAGGTGGGAAGGAGTGACAGAGTTGAACATCATCTGCATACAAATGACATCGCACCCCGAAACTCCGGATGATCTCACCCAGCGGCTTCATGTAGATGTTGAACAACATGGGAGATAATATTGAACCCTGAGGAACCCCACAAGACAAAGGTTGTGGGGTTGAGCAGGAGTCTCCCAATAACACCTTCTGAGACCGACCCTCGAGGAATGAGCGGAGCCACTGTAGAACAGTACCTCCAAGACCCATCCCCGCGAGGCGTCCCAGAAGGATACCGTGGTCGACGGTATCGAAGGCCGCTGAGAGGTCAGCAGCACCAACAGGGACACACTCCCCCTGTCGAGCTCCGGCGCAGATCATCCACTAAGGCGACCAAGGCTGTCTCGGTACCATGCCCCGGCCTAAAGCCAGACTGTGCCGGTCCAGATAATCTGTGTCTACCAAGAATACCTGGAGTTGTGAGGCCACCACACGTTCCAGGACTTTGCCCAAGAAGGGGGGATTGGAAACAGGCCGATAGTTGACGAATTGAGTGGGGTCCAGTGATGGTTTTTTCAACAGCGGTTTTATAACAGCTTGCTTTAAGCTGGCTGGAATTATGCCTTCCCGAAGGGAGGCATTAACCACCACCTTTACCCACTCGGCCAATCCCCCTCTGGCCTCCTTCAGAAGCCAGGATGGGCAGGGGTCTAGGATGCATGTGGTAGCTCTCATTCCTCCAAGCACCTTGTCCACATCCTCGGGTTTCACCAATTGAAATGAATCCATCAAAAGTGGACAAGCAGATGCTCGTGTTACATCCTCAGAGACTGCCGTTAATGTGGTATCCAGACCAGAGCGGATCAAAGCGACTTTGTCTGCAAAGAACTGAGCAAAGGGCTTCGCAGCGGGCTGCCGAGTCATCAGGGCACCCATCCTGAATGGTGGGTTTTAATAAGCCTCTGACAACTCGGAACAGCTCAGCCGGACGGTTCTTCGCAGACGCAATATTGGCCGCAAAGAATGTCTTCTTTGCGGCTTTTATTGCCGCGGCGTATGCCCTTAAAAAGGACATGAACCGTGTTCGATTTGGCTCGCTCGGATCTGAACGCCACACGCTCTCTAGTTCCCTCTTCTTTCGCTTCAACGCTGCCAGCTCCTCAGTAAACCAAGGAGCTGGTTTAGCTCGGCTACTTTAGCTAGACAGGAATCAAACAAGAAGCAAGAACAGACCAGTCGCCGCTAGTCACCTGGAAAGGCTAGAAAAATCCATGAAGACGAGACCACTTGAGCAGGAATTCCATGAGGCTTATACTTGGTTTCCAAACAATGCCTGATCTGACAAGATTTTCTACAGACAAACGTTAAATCCCAAAAACTGGTTTCGCTTTCCCCCAGACTTTGACTTTAATTGACGAATTCTTTCGGATCTACGTAAACATTGGGCCTCTTGTCGATTCTGGAAATCTCCAGCCACCAACTCTGCTTATCCGACTCCTCATTAACTTTCCCAGGTGCTAGACTGTTTTCCAAACTAGAATCTGGAAAGCTCACAGACGAAGGGGGTAAACCTTTCTCCCAAGGCCTGACAGAAGCATTCTCATGAGAATCTGCCCTTTGCTCCTCTCTGTCAGTGTCTGCATGAAACTCACTGACCAAAGTGTCTCCATCTTGAACTCAGAGTCAGTCCCAGCATCCTCCACATCAAAAGCAACAGGAGACTGATTTCCCTCCTCATTACCCACATCAGACACAGAAACATCAGGAGACTAAAACACACTCACAGGTTCAGTCACAGGCTGTCCCACAGGAGTTCAGCCTGTGATTGTGTTTCAAAATCAAGGTACTTTAGATGTGGGGAATTATGTCAATGAGGATCACGATGGCGATGGTCTGGTCAATGATATTAATACAGAGAATGACATAGAGACTCCAGTTCAAAGTGTAGTTTCCCATAAGAATGCTCCTACAGGGTATAGGGATGATAGTTTACTCCCTGAATTTTTCCCAGAGAGTTCCCAGGATTTGGGGCTGGCACCTGGAGAAACTAATGAAACTAATGAGCATATAGACAGGTGGGTGGAAATTAGCCAAAACAGGCAGTTTTCAGATGACCTACTACAATGCGGTCTGAACCCTGCCACATGCACAATGGAGGACCTTCTTACAGCAACATCAGAGGCACTCCAAGTGATCAGCTTCTGGTCAAAGGACATTTAGTATAATGCCAAGTATTTAACTTGGTTTGTGGTTTTTCTATACATTATAACTGTATTCTCAATTTGCTCCTGACACGATAAATAAACAAATCTACAAAAATATACGCACCTGTAATGGTGTATGCTGCTGGATATCTTCAATTTTTTGCAGTCCCCCTGCCCTAAAAAAAACAATGTAAACAACTCTATGCACCTCTAGCACAGAATTTCTCAAGCTGGGGGTCAGGACCCCTGGGGTGGAGGGTCATAAGGGGGGTGTCAGAGGGGTCGCCAAAGACCACCAGAAAACCAAGTATTCTCTGTTGATCATGGGGGATCTGTGTGGGAAGTCTGGCCCAATTCGGGAATTGTAGTTCCTGGGATTTATAGTTAACCTACAATCGAAGAGCATTCTGACCTCCACCAATGATGGAATTGAACCAAACTTGGCATACAGAACTCCCATGATCAAGAGAAAATACTAGAAGGGTTTGCTGGGCACTGGCCTTGAGTTTTGGAGTTGTAGTTCACCTACATCCAGAGAGCACTGTGGACTCAAGCAATGATGGAACTGGACCGAACTTGGAACGGATACTCAATGTGCTCAAATGTGAACACTGGTGGAGTTTAGGGGGAAATAGACCTTGACATTTGGTAGTTGCTGGGATTTATAGTTGACCTACAATCAAAGAGCATTCTGACCTTCACCAATGACAGAATTGAACCAAACTTGGCACACAGAACTCCCATGATCAAGAGAAAATACTAGATGGGTTTGCTGGGCATTGACCTTGAGTTTTGGAGTTGTAGTTCACCTACATCCAGAGAGCACTGTGGACTCAAGCAATGATGGCTGTGGACCAAACTTGGCACGGATATTCAATGTGCTCAAATGTAAACACTGGTGGAGTTGGGGGGGGGGGGGGGCGGGATAGACCTTGACATTTGGGAGTTGTAGTTGCTGGGATTTATAGTTGACCTACAATCAAAGAGCATTCTGAACTCCACCAACGACAGAATTGGGCCACATGGAACCGTCATGACCAACAGAAAATACTGTGTTTTCTTATGATCTTTGGTGACCCCTCTGGCATCTCCTCGCAATCCCGACCCCCAGGTTTCCTCTTTCCAAGGGTGCCTCTTCATGCAGTTTGACAGCACTTGAACTGCCAGGGCTCACTGCTATGGAATCCTGGAAGGTGTGGTTTTACAAGCTCTTTAGCCTTCTCTGGCAAAGAGTGCCGGTTCCTCACCAAACCACAACTTCCAGGAGTCCATAGCATGAGTCATGGGCATTCAAGTGCTGTCAAACTGCATCAGTTCAATAGCCTAGATGTGCCCCATGCGCCTTTTCTGCCCCACTGAGCCACCCCAAACCAGAAAACTTACCACTTCTCCTTTTGCTCCGTCGCCTCCACCAAAGTGAAAGCAAAAGGAGAGAGCGAGAGCTCCTTCTTGCAGCTTTTTTTTTTCTCTTTGGGAGTTTTTATGGCTCGAGATAAGCAGTGTTACTTGTGTTGTGGGTTTTCCGGGCTGTATGACCATGTTCCAGAAGCATTCTCTCCTGACGTTTCGCCTGCATGGATGCCAGGCATCCTCAGAGCTTGTGAGGTCTGTTGGAAACTATATATTATTTATCTATATAAATAAAAATGTAATGTTCGTTTGTGGGATTAACAGAACTCAGAAACCACTGGGGGAATTGTCACCAAATTTGGACACGATACACTTAACAACCCAATGTATGTCCTTCACTCATAAAAATTGATTTTGTCATTTGGGAGTTGTAGTTGCTGGGATTTATAGTTCACCTACAATCAAGGAGCATTCTGAACTCCACCAACGATGGAATTGAGTTCTCCCATGACCAACAGAAAATACTGGATGGGTTTGGTGGGCAGTGTCCTTTGATTTTGGAGTTGTAGTTCACCTATATCCAGAGATCACTGTGGACTCAAACAATGATGGATCTGGACAAAACTCTACACTAAGACTCAATATGCCCAAACGTGAACACTGGTGGAGTTTGGGGGAAAATAGACTCTTCACATTTGTGAGGTGTAGTTGCTGGGATGTATAGTTCACCTACAATCACAGAGCATTCTGAACCCCACCAAGGATAGAATTGGGCCAAACCTCCCACACAGAGGTTTGCTGTGGGCCACAGCAACGCGTGGCAGGGGATGGCTAAGTATATATTATATATCTGTGGAATGTCCAGGGTGGGAGAAAGAACACTTGTCTGCTGAAGGCAAGTGTGTATATGTTGCAATCGGTCACCTTGATTAGCATTTAATGGCCTTGCAGCTTCAGAGCCGGGCTGCTTCCTGCCTGAGGGAATCCTTTGTTGGGAGGTGTTAGCTGGCCCTGATTGTTTCCTGTCTGGAATTCCTTTTTTTAATAGGGTGTTGCTCTTTATTTGCTGTCCTGATTTTAGAGTTTTTTAAAAAAATACTGAAAACAATAAAATAATATAAAATGGGGTTTATACATCTGTGGAATGTCCAGAGTGGGAGAAAGAAATCTTCTGTTTCACATAAGTGTGAATGTTTCACTTGGCCACCTTGATTAGCATTTAATGGCCCAGCAGTTCCAAGGTGTGACTTCTTACTGCCTGGGGGAATCCTCTGTTAGGATGTGATTAGCTGGCCCTGATTGTTTCTTGTCTGGATTTCCCATTTTTGAGGAATTGTACAAGAAGACAGTTTTTATAATGTTTATTGTTTATTGCTTTTATGGTTTTGAAATGTATTGTGATGTGATTTTTTGCTTTTAACCGATGTGTGTATTTTTATATATGGCACCTAATTGTTGCCAATTTGCATGCTGCCCTGTGTCACCTTTGGGCTGATATGACCGGGATAGAAGTGATGTAAATAAATAAATAAATAAATTCTTCTTTATTTACTGTCCTGATCTTAAGAGTTTTTAAATACTGGTAGCTCGATTTTGTTCATTTTCGTGGTTTCCTCCTTTCTGTTGAAACACAGGGCCATGTTTTCAGAATTCTTCCTTGTGTCTCATCCAGCTTAATCCAGCCTCCATGCAAGAAGCAGCCAGGCTTTGAAGCTGTAAGGCCATTCAATGCTAATCAAGGTGGCCAATTGCAACATTCACACTTGCCTCAAAAAAAGGTGAAGGTAAAGGTTTTCCCGACAGTAAGTCCGGTTGTTTCCAACTCTGGGGGTTGGTGCTCATCTCTATTTCTAAGCCGAAGAGCTGGCCCTGTCCAGCATGACTGCATGGAGCGCTGTTACCTTCCCGCTGAAGCAGAACCTATTGATCTACTCACATTTGCATGTTTTCGAACTGCTAGGTTGGCAGAAGCTGGGGTTAACAGCAGGAGTTCACCTCGCTCCCCGGATTCAAACCTGTGACCATTCGATCAGCAAGTTCAGAAGCTCAGCAGTTTAATGCACTGCGCCACCAGGGGCTCCCCCCACTTGCCTCAAGCAGACAAGAGTTCTTTCTCCCACCCTGGACATTATTCCACAGATATATAAACCCCACTTGCCTAGTTTCCAACAGACGTTACAATCTCTGAGGATGCCTGCCATAGATGTGGGCGAAACGTCAGGAGAGAATGCTTCTGAAACATGGCCATACAGCCCAGAAAACTCACAACAATGCAGTGATTCCAGCCATGAGAGCCTTTGACAATACAGTGCTCTTTGTCATCTACCTCCTATCTGTCCACAGAAGTGCAGAAACAACTCCACATATGTATGCTTGCCCACAAGGCCCTGACTCATGCACAGAGGAAGAATTGTTTAAAGCTGCAGACAATACGGTCACTGTTGCGTTTCTTTGACAAAAAATATTTAACCACTTGTGTTCCCTCAATTTTTATCAGTTTTATACTTATTTACACAATGCTTTTGACATGAAATAAGTCATGACCAGATATAGATACATATATGAAATGTATATATATGTAGGGGGTTGAACACTGTTCTATAGGATATTTTCAGAGGAAAATTGCAAGGCTTTCCCTCCCAGCCAATATCAATTGCAAGACTCACGAGGAAGGCTGAGCAACCACATAATAAGAAATTATATGATCCTGCTTGCTTATAGGTTAATGGTTGTCCTCAATTTGTCCACCAATACTTTTCAGCTGAGCCGGGAGCATCATCTCACTCATACAAAACAATCTTTATTTACAAATACAGAGTAAACATGAGTGGTCAAATGGAAGGAGGAAAGTGCCCACTGACCCACAAGTTCACACAACCTCAGGCTCGGGCACACCGCTTGACCCAGGAAGGGATCCTATGTAGCCAAAGCTGCAGATGAGCCATTAGGGGAAATGTTGGGTTTGGCCCATCCTAAAATCACTCCAAGTCATTGAGTAGCTGTAGTTCGAAGACCTGCAGATGTTCCTTAAGCCGCCGCTGCGCATCAGCACCATGTGGCTGCCGTTCCCGCTGCAGCTCGCAGATCCGCAGGCGGAGTCGCTGCTCCCGACGCCGACAGGCTTGTAGTTGCCGCTGTGCTTTCCCCAGAGCATTGAGCGCAGCTTCGGCCCGTCTTTTCCACAGCAAGGCACTACCCACCTGGTAGCTGTGCTCATTCTGGATGTAGGCACCAGCGGGAGGAGGGAGGCGCAGCATGTAGAGGGAAAGGGACACGGGATGGGATGGATCGCCCACTGGCTCTGGGAGAGCGGGAGAAGGAGATGCTTCCTCCTGGGCCGTAGCGGCCGGTGATTGTTCCAGGGGAATGTCTGACAAAGCCGCCAAGGGCTCCGGCTCTGGCCCAGAAAGGATGGGCTGGCTTCGAGGCTCACCGCTAGTGGGAGCAGCTCCAGGACTCGGCAGCTCTTGGGCTGGGAAGCAGGAGATATCTGTGCACATTGGAGCAGACTCCTCTGGACATGGATTGCAGCTGTGTGAATGGAAAAGAGAAAGTAGTAGGAAAGATCATCTACCACAGAAGTAGATGATGAAAAGGAATTAAGCATTCAGATGCTAAGGACCCACTGAAGGCATGTTCTTGCTCCATATACAGCCTTCACAACACAAGGCTTAAGCAGGGCACCTTGGATCAACAGATGACATGCCACACTTGAACATGGAAAACAGGGAAACTCTAGGCCAGTGGTTCTCAACCAGTGGGTCTCCAGATGTTGTGGCCTACCACTCCCAGAAATCCCAGGCAGTTTACCAGTTGTTAGGATTTCTGGGAGTTGAAGGCCAAAACATCTGGAGGTTGAGAACCACTGCTCTAGGCAGTCCCAGGCAAGCAATATTTTTATATAACACTAGCCATCCCCTGCCACTCGTTGCTGTGCCCCAGTCTATGTATATGTGTTTTCTGTGTGTATTTATTTATTTATTATTTGAACTTATATGCCGCCACTCCCCTGGGGCTCAGAGCGGCTTACAAGAACAGGCTAAAATCGAACAACAATTTAAAAACAATTTAAAACAATTTAAAAACAGCAATATCAAATATCAAAGGCCTGTCGAAACAGATATGTCTTACATGCCCTACAGAAAGTTGATAAGTCCCGCAAGGCATGGACTTCAAGTGGCAGAGTATTCCAGAGTGATGGTGCCACTGCTGTAAAGGCTCTGCGTTTGGTTGCTGTTAGACGCAAGGTCTTGACACTGGGAATTTCCAACAAATCTTGGTCTTCAGAACGGAGGGATCTCTGGGGTAGGTAGGGGGTGAGGCGGTCCCTCAGGTACATCGGCCCCAGACCATGCAAGGCCTTAAAGGTGAGTACCATCACTTTGAAAGTGATCCGGTGCTCAATTGGTAACCAATGCAGCTGCAGTAAGATTGGTGTTATGTGGCATCTCATCGGAATTCCCGCAAGAAGCAGCTGCATTTTGTACCAACTTGTATACATGTGTAAGTAAGTAAGTAAGTAAGTGTGTATTTGTGCATATGTGTATACATGTGTGTTTATATGTGTGTGTGTGGTTTTGCGCATGTGCTGTAATATTACGTCTCTTCTGCTGTGTTTTCCAGTGTTTTTATGAGTGATGGTCACTTGTTGGCCTGATAGGTGTATTGTGTCCAAATTTAGTGTCAATTCGTCCAGTGGTTCTTGAGTTGTTACTCCCACAAACGTACATTACATTTTTATTTATATAGTAGCCATCCCCTGCCATGCATTGCTGTGGCCTAGTCTGTGTATATGTGCTTTGTTTGTTTATATATTTGTGTATATTTGTATATATGTGTGTTTGTGTACATATGTGGTTTTGTAATGTATTTTTTTTTTGCTTTTAAAGTCTCTTCCACTGTGTTTGCCAGTGCTTTTATGAGTGATGGTCACTTGTTGGCCTGATAGGTGTCTTGTGTCCAAATTTGGTGTCAATTTGTCCAGTGGTTTTTGAGTTATGTTAATCCCAAAAAACGAACATTACATTTTTATTTATATAGATAGGGTTATTGTAAGGATAAAAAGAGACAAAGGTAGAGAGAAACAAATGGACACTAGTGATAATATCCAAGTCCAAATTTAGCCCATAAACTATAATCCAAGTTCTATTTCTTCCCAGAATTAACTATACCAAACCTAGTGTCTATCCCTCTATCTCCCCTTTTCCAACTATTTTGCCGTGTTCTTAATCTCATACTCCGTAATAGCATCCTATATTGGAAAATGCCTCTATACAAAGTCTAGTACCGCTGATCGAAAAGTCGGCTTAGGTGTTAATTTTACCTAAGTCCCTCTTAAAATGGTGAAATTTCCTTTTGAGATAATAATAATAATAATAATAATAATAATAATAATAATAAATCTTTATTTATATCCCGCTTTTCTCCCTCACGGAACCCAAAGCAGCTTACAACATCTTAAAATCATACAAACAAAAGACCAAATATATCAATAATAAATATGAAATCTCAACAGGATGCAAGATGGAGTTAAACGCCAGGACTCACCTCTGCTTCTGCTGCCGTTTTGCAAGTCTGGAGCTGCCTAGCTTTGATTTTTGGCGTGGTTTGGCATGAAACTCAAATATAGTAGGAACAGCACCCTCCTTGAGCCGATGGTAACCACTAGAAGGAAAACAGTGGCACTTATAAGGCATGATTGGCTACAGTAGCCTGGCATAATAGCCTCTGAATTATGGATCCTTTGCAAAAAAGTGAAATTTTCTGAATGCGCCAAGACTATAACAACAACAACAATTTTATTTTTGTACCCCAACAACAACAACAACTTTATTTTTGCACCCCGCCTCCATCTCCCTGAAGGGACTTGGGGCGGCCTACACATGACATAAAGTGTCTAAAACAACGTATAAAATAAACACACGGTACAATTTTTAAAAAGTAGAAAATAATAGCATATAAACAACAATTTAAAACTCAGAATAACACCCAACAACCTGTACTGACAAGTGCTGTAAGACATGGCCAAACTGTAAACAAGACAAGGGAATGGGATAGTGCAAATTGCAGCTAAGGAATAAAAACATGGGATGAAAGTGCAGTGCTATTAGCATCATTTCTAGAAGCTGTTAGCATCATTTCAGCTTCACAGTATTATCTCTGCAATTTCATGAATCTAAAGGAAACACTTCTGTGTGACTCAAAATACTCTGATATATGCCCCTGGCCCCACAAACAAAGGCAAGGAAGTCCATCTTGATTTCTCATTACAGTTTTTTCCCCTTTCTCTCTCATAGCAGATCTGACATTGCCTTCTACTGTGCCAGTCTGACATCCTACTTGTCTACTGTGAACTGTACTGATTCTAAAGATATAAAGTAAAACCAGTCCCTGTGCTCTAAACCCCTTTTCCTTCATCTCTTCACCACACACAAGTGCCAACCTGATTCACCCGTGTGCGGTGAATATTTAGTCTCTTAGTAGAGCACACAAATATGATACTACTAACCACCCAAAGAAAGACATTGCCTCATGGGCTTTTGGAGGTTTTTTGTTTTGTTTTGTTTTGTTTTGTTGTGGGGCATCTTCCAAGAGGGTTATTGCACCTATTTTGATTAATACAAGCAGTATTTCAACTGAATTTTTTTGCAGACAGCTGGGGCTTTCAGAATTGGTGGGAGTCTCAAAGCTTGCACTGAACTTGCCCAAAGAGTCACTTGTGTCCCCTGAACCACATTAATCTCATGCCAGTATAACCTGTCCTAAATGCACAAATTAGGATTTGTGAAGGGTACTCATCTAATCTTGGAAACCAAGCAGATTAGTACTTATATGAGCACTTTTCAAAAACAACTAGGTGCAGGAGGCTAAACTTCAGAGGAAGGCTATGCCTGAGAAAATCCTATGAAATTCATGAGGTTGCTATTAGTGAATAGACAACTTGAACATTTATTTACAGGTACACATATTTTCTTATGATGAAATTTCTGCCTTAAAAAGAAAAAAAATAACGTATATACTCTAGTATAAACTGAGTTTCTCTGTCCTTTTTTAAGTTGAAAAAGCCCTACTTGAGTCAAGGTTATTTATTATTTTACTTTATTTTTATTACATTTTTATTACATTTATTGTTTTCCTTTTATTACATGTATTATTTTACTCTATTATTATTATTGCATTTACATTATTTTATTATTTATTATTAGATTTTTATTTTACTCTATTATTACTGTTATTATTACATTTCCATTATTTTACTCTATTATTATTATTATTATTACATTTATTATTTTACTCTTATTATTGGAAGGATACGTAAGCATATTTACATTGAAGAAGGTTAGAATAATGGTTTAATCAAAATTGGCCAGTCTTATCTTAAATTAAAGTTTTATGTAAATATTTAAAAAAAAATAACTTATATATTGCATTTATATACCTCTCTTTCTCATCTCTGGGGGGACTCAAAGAAGTTCACATCAGTTGATGTGATTGCTGCCTCAATTAATGCAATTTTATTGGTATTTATTTTTATTTTAAAATTTACCAGTAGCTGCTGCATTTCCCACCCCTGCTTATACTCAAGTCAATACATTTTCCCCAGTTTTTTTGTGGTAAAAGTAGGAGCTTTATATTTGGGTTGGCTTCTTCTCAAGTATATACAGTAACTGAAGATTGAATAAATGAGAGTAACCTCTTTGCCTTTCTTCTTCAAGTCATTTTTACTTTTCTTCTCTGCATGAAGCCTTCAAAACATGGAAGCTACAGCTGAACTCTACTTGCCAGCCACATCACAACCAGCACCCAATGTACCATCTAAGACACTGCTGAACTGTAACTGCATGCGGCCACTTGAACTTTGTTCAACCCTTGATGACCTACCTGGTGCCTACCAATTCGAAGCAACTCTTCTCAAAGTGCTTGGAGCAAAAGTAAACATACTTAGAGGCAGGGTCCCAGAGACCTTGGCCGCTCAAGTCCTTTCTCCGACAGTTCTCCAACCATGTCCCTCGCCGTGGATTGTCCTTTGGTAGTCTGTGAGAACACATACAGAGTGGAACTGAGTTAGCCTGGGAACTGAGTTAGCCTGCTTTCTTCCCCGGCTCATCTTAGGAGTGCAGTTCCCATCCTGTCATTGACAGCTGGGCTGCAAAGTTCCCCCCAATAACTAAAATGGATTCAATCCAGCCTGCACTCAATTAAACATGGTCATTGAATAGGAGGCTGGGAAGGGGCCCAGGTGGGATGAGCTCTCACCGATGGAAGGAAATGCCTCGGTTACGTGTCTCAGGTGTGTCACGGGTGCAGCAGCCAGTCGCAGAGCAGTGACGGGGCATCTGAAAGTAATGGGAAAAAAAGCATATTGATAGTGCACTCTGTCTTGTGAATTCTGGACAGGTCATACATATGACACAATATTTTATTTAAATTTTGCATTAAAAGCTGGTTGGCTGTTAGGAATTGTGGGAGTTGAAGTCCAAAACATCTGGAGGGCCAAAATTTGCCCATGGCTGTTATAGATCCTCATAGCCATTTCCAGATTACTAACACCTGAATCCAGACAATTCCATACACAGAAATATGTAGAACAAAACATGAAGCAGTCAATATCTAATAGTATAAAATAGGAATAATAACAACAAAAACATACCAAAACCATAAACAAAACAGAGTACATAGAAAGCGTGTTTGCGCTCTCACTGGAAAAGCACAAAGCAGAAGGATACGGAATAATAGAGAAAGAATTGTGCATTACACCGGCCATCAGATGCTTCTTACAACCCTCTGTTGGTCATATTCTATTCTTGAGATTTTTATTTTACCCTTTTCATTCAGCTAATGGTTTCTTCAGATATCAAAGGTCCCATCTATACTGAATATTTAATGCAGTTCAAAACTAGCTCAAAACTGCAGCGGCCAGAAGCAAGCTCCCACAAAAATGTGTGAAAGAAAGCCCTTCATGTGCATCAGTGCTCTGTGGTTTGTGTAACTACAATCCGGGTCTCATTTTGGTTTCAGGATTTCTGTGCAGCAAAAACACTTTCTTCAATACAAGTTTGAAACTGCATTAAATGGTCAGTGTAGATGGGGCCATAGTTCTTTCCTCCAATCTGATGGCGAAGCTAGGACTCCTCCAAAACCACCACATACGCCCCTGACCCCCAATCAAAGTGCTCAGCGCATGGCAGCATGGTGCGCATGTGCGAGTAAGGGAGAGCATGCGAGGCTGCACGGAGGCTCTTGCCAGCAAGTCCCTTCAAGGCATGGGGATTCTGTGTGGGAAGTTTGGCCCAATTCTATCATTGGTGGGGTTCAAGGGGCTCTTTGACTGTAGGTGGACTATAAATCTCAGCAACTACAACTCCCAAATTTAAAGGTCTATTTTCCCCAAACTCCACCAGTGTTTACATTTGGGCATATTGAGTATTTGTGCTACATTTGGACCAGATCCAATCACAGCCAAGGAGGGCTTTTGGTGGGAGGATTCACCATCTCTTTCCAAAAAGGAGGAGAAGGACAAGTGGAGTGCTCTCTGGATGTAGATGAACTACAACTCCAAAACTCAAGGTCAATGTCCATCAAACCCTTCCAGTATTTTCTGTTGGTCATGGGAGTTCTGTGTGCCAAGTTTGGTTCAACTCCATCATTGGTAGAGTTCAGAATGCTCTGATTGTAGGTGAACTATACATTCCAACAACTACAACCCCCAAATGTCAAAATCAATCCCCCTCAACCCCACCAGTATTCGAATTTGGGTGTACTTGGTATTTGTGCCAAATTTGGTCCAGTGAATGAAAACACATCTTGCATATAATTACAATTCAAAACAGTAGCAAAATTACAGTTGTGATGTAGCAACAAAAATAATTTTATTGTTGGGGTTGCCACAACATAAGGAACTGTATTAAGGGGTCGTGGCATCAGGAGGGTTGAGAAACACTGCACTAGAGTAAGTCTAACTCACTGTAGTAACTAATGGGGTCATTTCAAATGTTTAAAAGCCTAACCCTGCCAAGACACAAGTGTGTGCTTTCCACCTATGCAATGGTGAAGCCAACAGGGAATTGAAAGTCACCTGGGAAGGTCAAAAGTTTGAACATTGTTTCCATCCTAAATATCTCGGTGTCACCTTAGATCAAACGTTAGCATATAGGAAACACTGCTTGAACACCAAGCACAAAGTAGCTGCATGCAATAACATCCTGCGAAAACCTACTGGCAGCACATGGAGTGCATACCCAAAATTAATAAGAACATCAGCCCTGGTTTTGTCTTACTCAACTGCCGAGTATGCTTGTCCTGTTTGGCACAAATCTGCCCACACAAAGCAGGTGAACATAGCATTGAATGACACATGCAGAATAATCACAGGATGTCTTAAACCTACACCTGTTGATAAACTCTACAAGCTAGCTGGCATTGCCCCACGATGTGCAATGAGAAGTTGCTGCTAAATGTGAGAGAAATAAGATTGGACACTGTGAAAGCCATCAATGGCTACCAGCCTCCTCCCAGCAGACTCAAATCAAGGAAAAGCTTTATGAGAACTACCACTCCCCTTGGCGTCCCCCCAGCAACAGCAAGAATTTCCCTCTGGCAGTTAAACCAGGAAACCCCAAATGGATGGCCCCCCACGAGGGTCTTCCTCCAGGGGCAAACCAAGAATGAGCAACTTGGAAGTCCCTGAACAGACTCAGAAGTGGAGTGGGCAGATCATAAGACAACCTGGCAAAACGGCACTACCTAAAAGAATCCCACACCATGTGTGACTGTGGAGCATAACAGACAACTCATTATCTGTACGCTTGTCCACTATGCCCTGCATCATGTAAAAGAGGACAAATTGTTGGAGGCTACAGACAATGCCGTTGCTGTTGCCTGTTTTTGGTCAATAGGTATTTAGCCGCCTGCACACCTTCTATTTTTATCAGTTTATACTAATTGATGCAATGCTTTTGATACAAAATAAAATAAATCTGAATGCCTGGTCCCATAGCCACGTCTTCAACTTTTTCCTGAAGGAAAGGAGGGAAGCTGTTGACCTAATTTTGCTGGGGAGTGAGTTCCACAGGCGGGGGGCCACCGCCGAGAAGGCCCTGTCCCTTTTCCCCACCAAGCTTGTTTGTGACAAAAGTGGGATCAAGAGCAGGCCTCCCCCAGCAAAAGTTTCGAGGTGGGACATAGGGGGATATACGTTCAGACAAGTAAGCTGGGCCAGAACCATAACACCTTGATATCCAGAGGGTTCTGGAATCAAACTCCAGCAGATACCAAGGGTAAAGTCAGTCTGCAACTCAACTATACATAGTTATTCCTCATGTTTGTTGTTCATTCGTTCAGTCATCTCCGACTCTTTGTGACCTCATGGACCAGCCCACGCCAGAGCTCCCTGTTGGCCGTCACCACCCCCAGCTCCTTCAAGGCCAAGCCAGTCACTTCAAGGATACCATCCATCCATCTTGCCCTTGGTCAGCCCCTCTTCCTTTTTCCTTCAATTTTTCCAAGCATAATTGTCTTCTCTATGTACATATAACCTAAACTGTGGAGTGCTGCATCATATATTTGCATTTTGGTTTGTGCTTAGAATCATAGATCATAGGGTTTGTTCGGGCTATAGGCCATGTTCTAGAGGCAATGCCTCTAGAACTGGCTCTATGCCCCCACAAGAACCTAGAGGAAGAATTGTTGGAGGCTACAGACAATGCTGTTCCTGTTGCCCGTTTTTGGTCAAATGATATTTAGCACTCCTTCTATTTTTTATCAGTTTTATATTAATTTATGCAATGCTTTCGATACAAAATAAATAAATAAAGGGGGTCATTCCTATGGACCTTCTCCCATACAAACAATTGGACAAAATCCACATTTTCTTTTAACCCAGCAGCAACAAAAAGAACACATTACACTAGATTCAAAGTGTCGTCAATATTGGCAACAATAACAGCACATTGACTGCACTGATTTGGAACGCACAGGAATRGAAGGAAAAGGCAGTAATATCATTGTGGACTGTACCAAAGGGAAATGGGGACCCCCCCCCCCCCCACTATGGTTGGAATGAGCTAGTCCAAGATTCCCAAACGGCGTAGGGGGCGGGGCTAGACGAGACCCCGCCCCTTGGAGCGCCCTCTGTTTCTGCCCTTCCCCCTTCCTCTCTCCCTCCCTCCGCTGAGAGGACAAAGCCCCCATAGGCCTGAAAGGGCACCTCAGCGTCCGCCTTGGATAGGAGCGGAGGGAGGGGAGACCCCTCAGCGGATGCGCCCGAGAGAAGCTGTGGTTGTTTTTTTTCTTCCTCACCTCCCCACTCCCATTGCTCGGAGCACCGCCGGCGCGGCTCTTCCAGTCTGACTGGGAGGAAGGGAAATCACGCTTCCTCTCGCGAGAAGTGACGGTACACGAGACTTAGAGGGATAGATACAGAGAGACTGTCAAAGCTCACCAAAGCGTGGTGTAGTGGTTAGAGCGCCGGGCTGCGAACCTTGAAGAGGAGGGTTCGAATCCCACCTGGAACACTCTCTCAAGAGAAGCCCGTGAAGTCTGAAATTACTCGAAGGTATAGACTGTGAACGATGGTGTTTCACTTCCTGGGCGGGGAAGGGCAACTTGTGTAGCCTTTCCTGGTGTCACTACGGCTGGTTGATATTGGGCGCCTATGAGTGAACAACATGGAATATAGTGTTGCCGGAAGTTGAGGGCTGTGTGTCACTCTTTCATACCTCTACGGAGCTTGAGTCCCAGTTGCTTAGCAACCTCTTCCTCTCTTCCCCTCCCTTCTCGTGGCTTGATGGGAGAGTTCAGATCTCCCCCTCTTTCTGGTCCAGAATGGAACAGGCCTTTCTGAGTATTCCTTTCTGACCTTGGCCTCTTGCTTCAAACTCCAGAGCAGAAGGAAAGGTGCCACGTTTAGAGTGGCACTCCCAGAATCCCCCAACTATTTATTTATTTACGACATTTATATCCTGCTCATCGGCTAAGCAGTTTTTTTTTTGTCGTGTCAGGAGTGACTTGAGAAACTTCAAGTCGCTTCTGGTGTGAGAGAATTGGCCGTCTGCAAGGACGTTGCCCAGGGGACGCCCGGATGATTTTGATGTTTTTATCATCCTTGTGGGAGGTTTCTCTCATGTCCCTGCATGAGGAGCTGGAGCTGATAGAGGGAGCTCACCTGCCTCTCCCCGGATTGGAACCTGCGACCTGTCGGTCTTCAGTCCTGCCAGCACAGGGGTTTAACCCACTGCGCCACCGGGGGCTCCGGCTAACCAGTTATATGTACATACAAAAGATGGAGTACTTTGGCCACATCATGAGGAGACAGGAAAGCCTAGAGAAGACAATTATGCTGGGGAAAGTGGAAGGCAAAAGGAAGAGGGGCCAACCAAGGGCAAGATGGATGGATGGCATCCTTGAAGTGACTGGACTGACCTTGAAGGAGCTGGGGGTGGTGACGGCCAACAGGGAGCTCTGGCGTGGGCTGATCCATGAGGTCACGAAGAGTCGGAGGCGACTGAACGAATGAACAACAACAACAACAACAATATATTATGTTATTAGCATAGCACAATAATAGTATTATATATCACTATATTGTACTATACAATATGTTATATTATCAATATTATATTATTATACACTAGCAGTACCTCCCACACGTTGCTATGGCCAACCTTCCCTCCCTCTTTCTCTCCTTTCTTTCTCTCCTTCCTTCCCTCCCTCTTACCTTACTCCCCCCCCCCTTTTTCTTTCCCTTCTTCTCTTCTCCTTTCTCACTTTTCTTCCTTCTCTATCCTTTTCTACCTACCTACCCACCCTCCTTTGCTCTTTGGTTTCTTCCTTCCTTCTTTCTTCCGTCCCTCTCTCTTTTCTTCCTTCCTTCTCTTTTTTCTTTCCTTCCTTCCCTCCTTTTCTAACTCTTTCCTGCATACCCCACTTTTTCTTTCCCTCCCTTATTCTCTCCTTCCTTCCTTCTCTACCTCTTTCTGTCCTTCCTTGCTTCTTTTTCATTCCCTCTTTCCCTCCTTCCTTCCTTCCCTCTAGACCAGGGGTCAAGTGCTGCCTTCGAGCCCGACGCTTTTCCAGCATATGCCTAGAGCAGGGGTCCACAAACTTTTTAAACAGAGGGCCAGGTCACAGTCCCTCAAACTGTTGGAGGGCCGGATTATAATTTGAAAAAAACATGAATGAATTCCTATGCACACTTGTTCATTCGTTCAGTTGTCTCCGACTCTTCGTGACCTCATGGACCAGCCCACGCCAGAGCTCCCTGTCGGCCGTCACCACCCCCAGCTCCTTCAAGGTCAGTCCAGTCACTTCAAGGATGCCATCCATCCATCTTGCCCTTGGTCGGCCCCTTCTTTTCCTTCCATTTTCCCCAGCATCATTGTCTTCTCTAAGCTTTCCTTTCTTCTCATGATGTGGCCAAAGTACTTCATCTTTGCCTCTAATATCCTTTCCTCCAGTGAGCAGTCGGGCTTTATTTCCTGGAGGATAGACTGGTTGGATCTTCTCGCAGTCCAAGGCACTCTCAGAACTTTCCTCCAACACCACAGCTCAAAAGCATCGATCTTCCTTCTCTCAGCCTTCCCTAAGGTCCAGCTCTCACATCCGTAGGTTACTACAGGGAATACCATGGCTTTGACTAGGCGGATCTTTGTTGCCAGTCTGATGTCTCTACTCTTTACTATTTTATCGAGATGGGACATTGCTCTCCTCCCAAGAAGTAAGCGTCTTCTGATTTCCTGGCCACAGTCTGCATCTGCAGTAATCTTTGCACCTAGAAATACAAAGTCTGTCACGGCCTCCACATTTTCTCCCTCTATTTTCCAGTTGTCAATCATTCTTGTTGCCATAATCTTGGTTTTTTTGATGTTTCGCTGCAACCCCGCTTTTGCACTTTCTTCTTTCTCCTTGATTAGAAGGCTCCTCAGCTCCTCCTCGCTTTCGGCCATCAGAGTGGTGTCATCTGCATATCTGAGATTGTTAATGTTTCTTCCAGCAATTTTCACCCCAGCTTTGCATTCATCCAGCCCCGCACATCGCATGATGTGTTCTGCATACACGTTAAGAAGGTTGGGTGAGAGTATGCAGCCTTCCCATACGCCTTTCCCAATCTTGAACCAGTCTGTTGTTCCGTGGTCAGTTCTTACTGTTGCTACTTGGTCCTTGTACAGATTCCTCAGGAGAGAGACAAAGTGGCTTGGGATGCCCATCCCACCAAGAACTTGCCACAATTTATTATGATCCACACAGTCAAAGTCTTTAGAATAGTCAATGAATGAAAGGCTTTAGAATAGTCAATGCACACTGCACATACCTTATTCGTAGTGCAAAAAAAAAAAAACAAAAAAAAAACCAAAACCAAAACAAACCAACCTTTAAAATAACACAATAATTAAAATGAAGCAGAATTTTTAACAAATATAAACTTATTAGTACTTCAATGGGAAGTGTGGGCCTGCTTATGGCTGATGAGATAGGATTGTTGTTGTGTGTTTTCAGGTTGTTTCAGACTTAGGTTGACCCTGAGCAAGGGCCGGGTAAATTACCTTGGAGGGCTATATCCGGCCCCCGGGCCTTATTTTGAGGACCCCTGCTCTAGTAGTTGGCAGGATCTATTAAATAGTAGTAGATTTCTTCTAGATAGTCTATTTCTGCTACTCCAATAACTTTCCCAAAGTTGATAGATGCTCTCCAATTCGTTTGAACTTGGCTCTCTTCCCCCCCCCCCTCCCAATAGTCTTGGCCAAATGCGATTTTTTTTGTCGTGTCAGGATCGATTTAAGAAACTGCAAGTCGCTTCTGGTGTGAGAGAATTGGCCGTCTGCAAGGACGTTGCCCAGGGGACGCCCAGATGCCAAATGTGATGAATGCCCAGAAGATCAGTATCCAGGCAAGTACCAATCACAATACATTCTAAGGACAATAAACTTTTTGACTTTTCAAAGGTCTTTGGGGATCTTTTTAGCCTCTTTTGCTTTCCCCCCCTCTGCTCAACATGCTGATCATCTCCATAAATATATAAAGATACAGCAATTCTCAAATCCAGCAATGAAATCTCAGTTACACCTTCATCTTCCTCTTGCTCTGTCTTCTCTGCTGTTTGCTTTTCCTCATCCAACCAGCAGATGTGGCCTGCCTTCTCCAACAAATCACTTTTGGTGACAGTGACAGTTTCTTGTGTATTGGCCAAAACACACCAAATGTTTATGGCTTCTGCATCTGGCTCCAGAATGCAGAGATGATTGGGAAAAATGGTGGCTAGCTCAATTGTATTCTTCTCCTTGCTTATCCAAGCAGGCATTGGTACCATGTTGCCATAAATACTTTTTTAACATTAAAAATCTTCTTTTTAAGTTTTCAATATTAAAAAACTCTAAAATCAGGTTAGTAAATTAAGAACATCACTAAAAAAATTGAGTGTTAGAAATGGAGATGAGAACCAACCCCCAGAGTCGGACACAACTAGACTTACTGTCAAGGGGAAACCTTTACCTTTTATTTGATTTCTGTAATATTCATTTTGCAGGCAGTTTCTTAAATATGATACTTTTTCCTACATTCTTTCAGATGTAGAATGTCTTACATCTTAATATTTTGGTCTGGGGAGGATTTTGTTGATTGGCTCTTTAAAATAGCATATGGTTCAGATTCTGTAACTGCTCTGATAATTTTGTTACAAAGCAACCTGTCATAACCTTAATCTCAGCCACTAAATTAGGGGTAGGAAAAGGGCAGACTATGGGCTATATTTGGTTTTTTAAAATACCTGTTTACCTTGCATCCAACCTTGAGTCACATTAATCTAACTGAAGATATTTGTTAATATGTAATATGTTCAATATGTATGTATTTCTAAATAAATGTCACTACCTGTAAGATCATGCAAAGGAAGGAATATTCAGAAAAGAAAAGTAAACATAACTGAAAAAAATGAATTTTATTAGGAAATACAATATTACACTCAGTCCCTTCAAATGCCATCTGTAAATAAAAATTAGAATTATGGATTACAGTTCCATAATTTCAAACTCCAAGATATTTGGCTGTTGTAAAGTCAATGTTTCCATCTCTCTTAATGATAAATTACTTATTTCATTTCCTTGTATCACCAACTTCCATCAGGAAACATGAAAACTGCACAATAAACTTTTAAATGGGGAAATGTAGCCAGAAAACCATATTTGGAGGGATGGGACATACAACACACATACTGTCAAACAAAGCATAGAATGGACATTGCAAATCTGAGTACTTGATTTAGCTATGTGTCATAAAATAATAGAACTGGACAGAGAACTGACTTCAAATCTTTATTCAGAATAACAACAATAAATATGCAGGGACCTGCACCCACACATCTAAATGGTCACAACCACTATGGGAAAACAACAAAAAAGGTCAAATT